TTGGACTCATTTTAAGCTAAGGACCCAAAAGGATGAGACCAGCACAAGAGGTGGCAAATAGCTCCTTATTCCAAATCGAGGTGCCCTGCTCGTCGGCAGGATTTCCACTTCTGCAAATAGGTGAGACACTGGGGCAGCAGCTGGGGCAGAAAAGGACCATGTTTGGGTTGTAGCTCCTCAGAGGTGTGTGTTTCCTGGGTGGAAACTGTGGTAGGGAGGTTGGCTGAGGTAGATTTTTTTTCTAATTCATTGCAGTTTCCATATTTAACCATTCCATTTTGAGACAAAAGAGGAACAGAAAACCAAAATAAAATTAATTTGCCTCACTTGCTGTATTCTTTGGTTTGTGGTGTTTGACATTTAGCCAATCCTTATTTCTGTAAACATAAGTGTACTAATGCATATTGATTTACCTAATCCATCTACTGGTTCTTTTAATTTAAAATTATTCAGGATTTTTCTTTTCTTTTGCAGCTGGCTGGTATGGGGCCCAAACCCTGGACTTTGGTGTTGTCAGCACCATGCTCTACCAACTGAGCTAACACAGGCCAGCCAGGATTTTCCTATAAGACACTTTCCTTAAAACCCATTTTCTAGACTCACTCCCATATAAAAGACTTGGTACTGAAAAATGAATTCTGGGGTTCTAAAATGAACAACTTCATCTTCCTCCCTCTCATCCAGCTGATGGACAGTCTACACCAGGGCTAGAGCCATCGTTGTCTTTACAGCCACAGAGCCCCAGCCTTTGCTATATGTTTCTTTCGAAAATCTGATGTGATCGTTGACTGAAAAAGAATCTGGAGCCTTGGAAAGCTGTGAGTCTGAGAGAACCTTGAAAGCTTTTCATAGGCAACCCACAATGGAAGCCCACTGAAGAGCTGCAGAAGGTCTGAAGGGCAATCAAACGACAGATTGTCACCCCTTTCCTTCTAGGAGCATGCTCTGAATCTGCTGCACACATTTCTGCCCAAGCTGGATGATGGAAGCCAGGCTTCTGCTCCATTTAGAGTTTCCCTACATTTTTGGACTCCAGATGAAGAATTTTACTTTGTTTTAAGGGTGGCCTGGCTATGTTTACATAGTTCTGAAAGAAGTTTTCATGTTGTAAGTTGAACTTTACATATTTTAAAAATAGTCTCAGGGCTGTCTCACTTGGGAGAGCAAGATGCTAGTAATACACCAAGGTCAAGGGTTCGCATCCCTGTACTGGCTAGCCACTAAAAAAAAAAACTGCAATCTTATTCTTAAGTGCATTTTTTTGGTGCAACCATCACTACTATTTCCAATATTTTTGTTTTGTTTTGTTTTTTTATTTTGCAAATTCCAATTTTTATTTGTAAGAATTTACTCACATCACTGAGTAATTATTCTATAACATCACTAATTTTTAAAATTTATTTGATTAGGTAGTAAATGACAGGATGAAAATTCAAAAAATATAAAAGATTATAAAGTGAGCCTCCTACTTCCGGCTTCCAGTCTCCCTCCTTCATTTCTGATGTTTCTTTTCTTATCCTTTTTTTTTTTTTTTGATTGAATCATAATTGATTATACATATTTTGGGGGTTCAATGTTGACATATGTTGATGAAATCAATATTACTAGCATATATATTGTTACAAGTTGTACTGATCATTTATGCCCCTTGTCCAATCTCTTCCTATTCCCCTCACCCTCCCCTGTCCCTCCACTGATAGCCTTAGATTTCTTCTCTCCCTCTGAAAGAGTAATGGTTACTCTGTTGATTTGTTGCCTAGATGATTTGTCCAATGCTGAGAGGTGTGTTCAGGTCTCCCAATATTATCATAGAGCGGATGCTTCTTCTGTCACTCTGGGATGGGCTTTGTGGAGAGAGACATCCTCTTCTTTTCTTTGGTCTCTGCTGGTGACTCTTCTTGTGTCAGTGCACTCCAGTGGCTGGCAGACCATGTGCATGCTGGTTGTGATGTCTAGCCACTTTCATGGCAGCTGTGGTTACTGTGGTGGCTGTGTTGGGCCACCCACATGGAAGTGATGTTTTTGGCATGCTCCTTGGCACTGGGGGTGTGCCTGGTTGTGGGTGGGGGCTCCAGTGTTCAGTTCCATGCCTTGGATCCCCTGGTGGTCCCCGAGACACTGGTGGTGTGCCTGGGCCAGAACTAATTTTTTGTTCTCTGCTTACTTCTAAAATGGGGGAAATTCCTGTGGGAACCAGTACTTGAGCTGTGTTGTTGAACTAAATTGCTGCTTTGCTGCTGTTTCCCTAGGGAAGGCTTTTTGTGCAGCTCAGGTTTAATGGTTGGCCTTATAGGTACTTCCGGCTCTCCAGAGACCTGGTGCACCTGGGTTGTATAGAAACTCTGTTCTGGACCTGAGTCTTTTCATCAAACTGCACCCCATGCAATTCTGCATTCCCAACCATTCTCCTCTGAGTGATCCTGTGTTGACTTGGGGGGGTGGATCAGCTGTCCTTGCTGTGTCCCTGTGTTCTCCCGGTGGGCCTGTCTCCCCCACTGCACATGCTGCAAACACTTCTCATGGGACAGGCTGGTTGTATAGAAACTCTGTTCTGGACCTGAGTCTTTTCATCAAACTGCACCCCATGCAATTCTGCATTCCCAACCATTCTCCTCTGAGTGATCCTGTGTTGACTTGGGGGGGTGGATCAGCTGTCCTTGCTGTGTCCCTGTGTTCTCCCGGTGGGCCTGTCTCCCCCACTGCACATGCTGCAAACACTTCTCATGGGACGGGCTCTGTGCCAGTCCCTTGCGATGACTCACCAGCTCTGAATGGCTCCAGTTTTTCAGTTGTTCTGTCTCCTCGCTCGTGCTTGGGTCCACAGGAACCCTATTAGTGTGGTCTTGCTGTCCTGAGGGCAACCAAGGCCCCCTTCTCCCCTGCTGCCTTTATGCAACTCCATCCAAAGGACACAGCTGTGGCTTTTGCTGGCTCCTGCTCCGTGTGCTCAGCAGCTCCAGCCTTAAAGTGGCCATGGCCCAAAACGCTCTGAGCAGTTTTTTCTTTCTTTCATTGAGGCTTCTCCTGCCTTCATGAACTCCATAGGTCTCTCCTCCTCTTTCCCTGAGCTCTAGCAGCCCCAGCTTGGCTGTTGTTGAATTTTTATAGTTGTAAATTGGTTGATTTGTGGGAGAGAGTGACACTGGGGACCATCTATTCCACCATCTTGACCAGAAACCCTGATGTTTCTTCTATTTCCAATATTTTTCATCATACCAAACAGAAACTCTATAACCATTAAGCAATAACTCCGTATTTGCCACTCCCCCCAGCTCCTGGTAACCTCCAATCTCTAATTCCTAGATTTGGAAAGGACCCACCTAGAAGGCTTCCTGCAAGAGGTGGGGTGCCTCAGGAGAATGAGTCTGGAGCTGGCCTGGAGCCTGGAGTGGAGCTGGGGCAGGTCACAAGTGGCTAAAGCCTCAGGAGAGGCGCTGCCCATGTCAAAGATGCCCAGAAGGGACTCTCTAAGGAGCTCACAAGGACAACCATGCAGGGAGGAGTCAGATGTAATATGGCCAGATCACACTGATGCCAGCCAAGTGAGATCTTTTCTGCCTCTTACCTCTATACCCTTCTTTCCTCTGACTCTGAAATGTAGGCTAGGAAGAGGGTCTGAAATATATGCTAGGAAGCCAGAGGGAAGGGGGAGAAAGTACAGGGAGGGACATGGGGAGAAGCCAATATCTCCCTTTCTCTCTGCAGGCCAGCTGGGAAGTAGCAGGGACACTGCAATCTGAAGTACATGTTAGAATATTGAACTAGATAATTTAATTATTAAAATGAGATGGTTCCTGTGACTAAAAGTGATCAATGGACTTTTAGATATCGTAAAATAATTAGAAAATTATAGGTAGATTTTACTCAGGGGGAAGGGAGAAGAAGCCTACACAGGGAACTTAAAGCGCCAGTGGGGGAAAGAATAAAGATGTTTCCTGCCACATCTGCTGGAGTCCTGCTCTTTCAAAGTAATGGTTTCACATATTTATTTATTGTCTACCTGAATGTGAACTCTGTGTGATTAGGCTCTTCAGATTTTGTCCTGTTTCATTTATTGCCACACTCCTCGTGCTTAAAACAGGGTCTGGCACATAGTAGGTCGTGGTAAATGTTTGTAAAATCAATGTTGAATCAATAAAACAAGTGTGAAGTCACATGAATTTACAACTTTTCTTATGATGTCTCTTCATCAAAAATCATCCTAAAAATATGAAAATCTTTCCAAAACTTCTTATTTTCTCATTTTTGGGGGGTCCCTGACTTACCAGTGCCTGAGACTATGTCTAGCTGTGTATGCGGTGTCTCTTTGCAAGGCAATTAACATCTGGATGAAATGTAAAAAAATGGACTCAGTCATCTACAGGTTTTAACAAGACTAGAATTTCACAGAGCATTTTTCCTGGGCTCTGTTTCCATAGAATGTTAAGAGGGGTTGTATTAATTAAAATGTTTTCATGGTTAAATCAGCTTGGGGAAAACAGAGTGAAACAAAGTTAAATAGATTTCCTTACTGCAGGACTTGTCAGAGCCTTTAACATGCTAATATGCCCTGTAAGCCTCTATGAGTGGCTGTAGTGTATATGCAACATTTTCCAAGTTTGTTGACTATAGGATCCTTTTTTTTTTTTTTCCCACTGAGCATTTCATGGGTTCACTATCCCAAGAAGGGTACTACAGGAAGCCATGGTTCACATTATATATAGGCACATTTACAAAGAACTTTCTTTTTTCATCCAGGTGTCTGTCATTTTGTGGAGATGGTCTCTGTGGGAAACTAACAGCCAACTGTCATTTTCTAGAGGTTGCGGGGGGGGGAGTTGGGAGGGAGGTGTGGTGGCTTTTTTGCACGATCTCTGTCATCCGCCCGATGATTCTATGAGGCGGGTGGTATTTGTATCCCCAGTGTTACAGAAGAGAAGACAAATTCTTAAAGAGATGAATTGACTGTCTCAAGCCCTTCATGGAACAGGATGGGATTACCCTGCTTTGCTCCGGCGTGCTGGGGGGAGAGAAGGGAGAGATTCTTTCATCTGAGACAAACGGAGGTCACTGATGGTGCAGATTTTCACATGCAACAGAACATTAATTATGAAAAACAGCCCAGTGCAGCAAAAGGAGCAGCAAATGGGAGCCTCAGAAAACTTGACTTGGGAGCAGCAAATGGGAGCCTGGCCTCTGCCAGCATTTAGCCGAATGACATAGAACTTGACCTCCCTGGGCCTCTGTTTCATTGTCCATAAAAAGAGGGGTAGGACAAAGTCCCTTCCAACACTGTCACTGGGTGATTGAGAAATGAAAGAAAAGTCACCTGCACGGCCTTTCCGTTGATGTCTGTTTCCCTGGGCCTCCGTTTCATCGTCCATAAAAAGAGGGGTAGGACAAAGTCCCTTCCAACACCGTCACTGGGTGATTGAGAAATGAAAGAAAAGTCACCTGCACGGCCTTTCCGTTGATGTCTGTCCCCATCGCCCCCGCCGTGAAGATCCCCATCGACCCCGCCGTGAAGACAGCATTGGGCACCGTGATTGTGCTTGTTTCAGACAGGTGCACATACGACTGGGGGATGTTCAGTTCTCGGCTAGCCACCTGCCAGAAGCAGAAGAAAAATAGTATGTATTTTGTTGACTTTAAGCCCCTCCCCCAAATTAAAAACCTTCATTCTTTTTAAAACTGACTGTAAAACCTGGCTATTCTACAGAGACAAATATCTGAGCTAGCATCTTGGGTTTTGCATGTAGATTGATGCACTTGAAGATATAAAATGGCACTGTAAAAGATATACTCCTTTTAGGAGACATGTGGCCAACCAAAGAACCTTTTTGTGCTTTCTTTTAAGTCTTCATAGAAGCCATGTGGCAGTTTGGTCATGCCGGGACATCTAGTTTAGCAGGATGCATTCAGGAAAGATTGAGGCCCTGGTCTTTCTGTTTACCTTCATCTTCTCCTTGTAGTTTACAGACAATTTATCAGATCATATTTCCTTCTTTTGCAGGCATAAGGGTTTTGTTGTAAAGAAGCAAGATATGTTCAAAGAAGGCCCTCTGGGTTTTTGTGATTTTCTAGTTCCACGTACACTGTTAAATAATATTATTTCCTTAAAGAAAGTATCTTCTATCTTTCATTGGGAGAGAAGCATTGTTTCCTGCATATTTTTGATTCAAATGTCATACTCAACAAATTCCTATTTCACATTAAAAAAGGGAAATTTTTCCTATTGCAATAATCTCTTACTCTTTTAACAGTATTAGAAACACTTCTTTGAATTATCATACATAATGGCCAGTCATGTGCAGTTCCTAAATAGATTGTAAATTCTAAAGAGCATAATTTTTCATCCTATTAAACACATTCATTTCTAAGTAAGGATTTGAATGAACACAGTATTGCTTTGAGTGGTTGCCATAAATCTTAAAAGTATTTCGTCCTTGAAAACTGTAGTCACATTTTTTAGAAGACCTATGGACTTGGTTCTTTTGTATGAAGGAGGAATAATAAAACATATTTGCTCAGTTTTAACTTCCACTTCCTTCACCCCCCTGCATTTTTGCATTCCTGAAATCAGGATGAGTCTTACAATTGACTGTGCATTTAGTACAATGGTATTTTTCCTGCTCAACAAGCAAAAAACTGTTCAGTTGACTGTAAGGTGCTATACTCTTCTACTGTAGAGAAGATGGACACTAATCTCACCTGAATCATTTTGGTGTTCAGGCCTTGTCCCAGTTCACAGCCACCATGAGTCACCAAGACAGAACCATCTAGGTAGATGTGGACCAATGCGGCCGCCTGGGGGGAAATGAAATAATTGTGATGCCAATTTGGAAACTGATGCAGCCAAATGTTGCCATGAGTTTAGCCAAGGTTGCTGGATGAACGGTTTTGTTTCATTGAGCCAATCTCTCATTTTTTATTCTGGAGAAGAAAGCTATTATTGGTGGCTACAGATAGCCCCTTGCAAGAACCCCAGACTTGAAAACCATTAATGCAGATGTGTAAGTGTGTTCATCTCTCCTCCCACCGGGCTTCTGCCTACTGCAGGCCCTGTGTGGAGGCCTTGGGAGCTGGCTCTCCGAAGCCCCAACCTGTACAACATTTTAATATTCTTCCCTCCCTGGATGTGAAATTAACATGGAGCCTGGATGAGTAAATTTCCAGGTTCAACCTCTCTTGGATACTAGAGGAGCTGGAAGAAACTTGAGATGTTTTAATGGTTTCCAAACTCTGATCTTTCAGAATCACGATGGGGAAGGGATATCGGCCCCATTCTGGAAATTCTAATTCAGTGGCAGTTTGGAGGTGGAGCCCAAATAGCCATTTTTTAAGCTCCCAGGTGATTTTGATGATTGGCCAGATTTGGGATCCATTGATTTAGTCCAAATTCTTCACTTTGCACATGGGGGAACAAAAGCCTATAGAGGGAGAGACGTGGCCAAACCCAGGTACTAAGTTTGTGGTAAAGTCAGGACAGGACCAGCAACTCCTAACTTGATTTCAGGGTCCTCATGACCATGCCATGTGGCCTCTTCAGACTAACTGCTGTTGTCCATCTCTGGGGCTGGTTGTCCTCACTGAGCAAGCCACAGAATGTGCATGTGGTTCCAGGGACAAGGCCCCAGGAGTGGGGGAGGATGGGCTGCGTAGGGTGGTTCTGCAAGTAGCTGGGATTTTCCTTTAGCATGATCACAATCATAGGCTCATGCATGTGGACCGGAATCCTGCATCTACCCTCTGGAGACCCTACCTCCATATAGATGCTTGTGCCCCTGCCACCAAGTGGGGGAGGATGGGCTGCGTAGGGTGGTTCTGCAAGTAGCTGGGATTTTCCTTTAGCATGATCACAATCATAGGCTCATGCATGTGGACCGGGATCCTGCATCTACCCTCTGGAGACCCTACCTCCATATAGATGCTTGTGCCCCTGCCACCAAGTATTCAAATATTATCTAACTCATCTCTTCCAGTCTCCTGGGTATGATGAGGCTATCTTCTCAAAATCATTAAGTTCTATACAGGAACTTTAAAGCTTTGTACCTTCACCTTTATGGCAATCTAACAAGAGTAATGGATGACCAGGTGTAAATGAGTATTGTCTGTGCTTTCAGAATGCACGTTAGATTTTACGTTGATGATTGTATGAACACCGAGTAGGATTATTTGAATTGATGGAGCGTATTAGAGACAAGAGGTGGGACAGTGAGTCATCATCACAGCACCCGCAGACATTTAGGAAAAAGGCTTCGACATGGCTTGTGCAGCCACTGCCAGAACCATCATCATTTTGTGAGTGAGGATTTAGTTTTAGAAGAGCGACATCATCCGCCACATTAAATTAATGTTATTATTTTGAATACTGCTGGCATTTATAGTATTATTTTTACTTAATTTGCAAATCTGTGTTTTAGAAAGGCATAAGAGTTGTAGGAAGCTTTTTCTTTGTTTGTGGTTATACACAGTTAAATAACATTAAAGTAAATAATTTAAGCAACTAATGAGAGTTCACAACAATTTTCTTCCAGAAGGGGATCTGGGTGTTGTTCTGCCTTGAGAGGTACTACCTGGGGGAAGATGAACACCTGCTTCAGGTGGTGCAGTGCTCCAGGCCTTCCCCTTTCTCCTTCTTTTGCTTCCTGCCTTGTCAGTGGACTCCGAGGAAGGGTGTGCACAGGACATAATTTTGGTAAGAGACAGCTTGGGCACACCTCATTCACATCATGAAGGGGGCCCGTGTTCTTTCCTTTGCATGGGTTTGGTTTTGGGGACATTTCAGAGATTAATGGGGATAGAAACCAAAAACAAAAGACAGAATCAGAAACCAAACCCCATGAAAAACTGGATATGGTGAAACTAAAAAGGAGGTCCAGTATTCACTTAACCTCAATATAGACTCCAACTTTCCATATGAATCAGGTAGCTTTATCTGTTCTCATGTGTTTTTATCTGCCTTCAAATGACCCTACTGCTCTCACTAAGAAACAAGGAAAGAGAGAAAGGGATCCTCTTGTTACCCCTGGTCCTCTCATGGATTTGAAACTTGACTCCCTGCCCCAATACCTATGTTTGGGGCCCTGTGACCTAAGGCCACCCCCCTGAGTTAAACTTTACTGTTGATTGCTTCTGACGTCCCAGATACTGTGACCTGCCAGGTCTTCCCTGACACCCGTGGTGGTCTCCAACTTTTGCTTGAAAGGAAACTGCCCAGTTTCTTCTGTTTCCCTAGAGGGAACCATCCCTATTCACACGTAATTGCCTTTTTCAGGCAGCCTTTGCCATTTAGAAAAGGGTTTCTGATGAGAAGACATTTCTCCCAACCTTACCTGATTGTAGTAGGCCATGGGGATCCCAATGGTAAATTTCATGGGGACTATAGCAAGCCCCCTCTTCTTCCAGTAATTCTTTGTGTTAAATTCCTCTGCAGCCAGTCTCCTAGCACGGAATGAAGATTTCTCCAGACATTCTCTCCAGCACCTTTGCAAGGGCTCTGGATTAAACATCTGCTTATGGGCTGTTTTGCTAACTCTCTTATACATGTTTATTTCTTTAACCTAAAAGGCAAGAAAATAAAAGGAATTTTAAGGATAGGTGAAGCATGCATTTTTGTTAAATGCCTGATATGAAGAAAGTCTTTCTAAAAAAAGAAACAACTATTTAAGTGGCTATAAATGTGCAAGTATATGTGTATAAACATAACAACAACAATGATAACAGCAATAGAAACTTTATTGAACACTTCATATGCTCCAGGCTCTAGACTTAGTGTATTATCTCAGTTAACTTCACAATAACTCCGAGAAACAGTAGGGCCTAACTATTATTAGGCTTGTCACAAGTTTGTTAATGGTGAGACAAAATTCTCCTGATTCAAAATCCTTTTACTCCTGTACAGCAGTGCCTTATTCTTAACTGTTCTCAAGTTAGCTCCTCAAAGTCTTGAATTGTGGTAAAATGTTTTCAGAAATGGCCGTAATCATTCCTTTTCTCTATTTATTCCCAAGTGGTTGCACACTGATTCTGGGATTGGCAGGTGACTTGTTTTGGCTGATGGGACATTATATACGAGAGGCAGGCAGAAATGTGAAAAGTGCTCATTCTTTAGGGCTTGCCACATTCTTGCTGTTCTTAGGAACTCTGTAAGTACCTCGTGAGAAGGAATCTGGGCTAGCCTACTGGAGGATGAGAGGCTCTGTGGAGCAGAGACAAACCTTCCCAGCTGAGGCATTCCCTACACAAACCAGCCTGAAAACTGCTGAGCACTTAAGTGAAGCTATTTCAGTCCTTGAAGTTCCAGTTGAGCTGTCCCAGACCAGAAGAGCTAGCCAGCTGACCCACAGAATCCTAAGAAATACTATCTGTTGTTTTAAGCCACTACATTTTGTGGTCAACTTACCATGCAGCAAAAGCTAACTGATACATACTGTACTTTATTTCTTTGAATCCACCAAGAGGCTGACACAATGCTATATGTAGGTGCTCAAAATATATGTGAACCAATAATGTCAGCATTTCATTAGCGAGTTCTGTTTACCTCTTCAGGGAGTAAGTTACATTGAGATGCCACAGCTGTTATGTAAGCTTCGACTACCACTGTAGCCTGAGGGAAGCCAAATCCTCGGAAGGCAGTGTTGGATGGCAAATTTGTTTTGCAAGCTCTACCCCGGCACCGGAAATTAGGAATATAATATGCATTTTCAGATTTCAGCACAATGAACTCTATCACCTGAATTAAAGTAAAACAAAACAAAACTTCAAAAATATTGAAAAAAATTTTTTCAAAACATACTTGACATCTGTCAAATATTCAAAACTACTTATGTCAATTTTATTTTTAACTTGAATCCTTCACAGAACTTATCTAATTTGTAAGACAAATATTCACGCAAATAAAGCATGGCACATGCAGCCAAGTGGTAGCCTATAGGAAAGGCATATTTCTTCTTTACCAGCTCAGACTCATCAGGGGTGCACCCGCCATTGGTGTAATATTCAACATCAGCAGCTTTGATCACACCATTGTTCATGAATCCAATCTGCAAAGTAACAACACGTAAGACAATTTTCCCAATAGTCCTTCTTTGCAACCAAATCATGCCATATACAAACACATCTGATCTGCAAAAGTTGTCAGAATCAAAACAACAACCAAAAATCCCCCCACCACTGTCAAATAGAGCCAAGAAAGGCCCTGAAGTTAGAGTTCTCTTGTATGAGTGCCTGATAACAAGAACTATCACAAAGGACTCTGCAAGAATCACAACCTCACACAAAGGCCATTGCAACCTTACACAAAAAAATGCTTCTGTGAGAACATCTGCCCAGCAACTGTCTGTCCAGCCTTGGACTAGCATCATCCTTGTTATTGATCCTTGTAGCCAAGGATAATTATCCCCAAACAATCATGTGATCCTCCATCATTTTTCCTTTAAAACCTTTCATCTTCCTCTACCTCCCTGAATACACACATAATTTACTATGGCATGTGTATTACCATTGCAATGCTATATTCTTGAATAAGTTACATTTTCTTTTAGAGAGCCCCTTTCTGTATGTTATCTAGGTTGAAAGATCACAGTTGTCCATCATACTTTGGTTATGCATGTGATTCTCAGATTGCATATGACAGTCACCAGAGAAACATTAAGGATGTGCCCAAGTTGAACCTGATCCCAACAGAAAGTTCTGACCAGTTTTAGGCAGCATCCAAATCCCTTTCAGGCAGTATGGAATTTAGTAATCGTCTTTGCTGTTGGTTAGTTAACATTGGACAATGTCTTAGTCAATTTGCTAAGCTTTTTACTCTCACTCACTTTGTATTTTCCGAGGAGTGGGTGGCGGCCAGCAGTTATTAGCATGTCATTACCACGCTCCAGGATAAACCGGATTGGGCGGCCAGTCCTATAGGAAATGACTCTGTTAATGTGCTGGATGCTTCATAAAGTTGTAGAGACATAGAGATGGGGGAAGGGGACTTGAGATAATCTAGCTTAGTGGTTTCCAATGGGGCTAGTAACACACCTTAAACAACATTTTGGAAGGCATTAACATTTGCGAGGGTATTAAAATTTTTAAAAAAATATTATTATCCTGGTTTAGTCACATCTGAGAATTTATATATTGCAATGATATATTATTTGGTTATAAGTTACTTTCCTTTTGTTTCTTTTTTATGTTGCATTAAGGAATTGTATGATTATTTGGAATTATGTGTGTAAGTAGGTTTATTGTTATGAATTTCACTTCAGGATCGTAAAGGGGTCACTAAAATATTTGCCATAGGGAGATGTTGAGGATGAAGGGCTGAGACCTCGTGCTCTGTCGAGCTCAGCCTCCCCCACATTCAGACTCCCCCTTCATGAAGTATCCGTCAAGGACTCTAGCTATTGATGGAATGTTCCCAGTGCCTGCACACCTGCTACTCACAGGACTGCTTTTTCTATTGCTGGAAAATGCCAATGAGCTAAGGTATTCCCAGTTTTTCTTTTTGAGGCAGTATTCTGGGATAAGTTTATCCTAAATGTATTTTAGTGAACTTTGGTGGTTTCAAGGGTCACAAAAGTCATGGCTATTCTGGTGTTTGGATATTCCAACTGGATGAGGCAGAGGCTAAGTAGATATTCCCAGAAAACAGCAGAGCTCCTGGTTTATTTCATGGCAAAATACGTCTCTTGGGATTCTGACTTTCCTTCCTCTCAGCCAACCTCAGCTGAGTTGGAAGCTGAGATGAAAGTTGGGGTGCAGGGCAGGAAGGACTCAGGTGGCATCAACGCTACTCGGACTGCTGACACTAACAGCTATCACTGTGACTTACTTGTTGGCGGCCACAGCACTGACAGCTCCTAGCAGAGCAGGCTTGGTTACTTTCCCCCCAAATGCTCCTCCAGCTCTTTTCATGTGGCAGGTGATTCTACTCCTTGGGACATTTAGTGCTGCAGCCACATATTCCTGCAAGAGGTAAGTCCCCAAAGTCATGTAAGTGCAATTTAATAGTTTACTTTATCATCCTCATGATTGCCCTCTGCCAGTAAAAGAAATTCAGTAATTCCATAATATATTTACAGAGTTGTGCAACCATCATCATCATCATCTAATTTTAGAACATTTTCAGCATCACCAGAGAAACCTCGTATCCATCAAGCAGTCATTCCTCATACCTGCCTCCGCCAAGCCCTCAGCACTAGGCAACTATGAATCCACTTTCTGTCTCTATAGATTTACCTGTTCTGACATTTCACAGAAATGCAATCGTGCAATATGTGGTCTTTTGTGACTGGCTTCCTTCACTTAGCACAATGTTTTCAAGGTTCATGCATGTTGTAGCATGTGTCAGTGTTTCATTCCCTTTATGGTTTAGTATTCTGTGGCACGGGTATACCACATTTTGTTTGTCCATTCATCAGTTGATAGACATTGGGTTGTTTCTACTTTTGGCTATTATTTATAATGCTGCTATGAACATTTGTGTGTACATTTTTGCGTGGACATATGTTTTCATTTCTCTTGGGTTATATTTAGTTGTAGAATTGCTGGGTTACATGATCACCCTATGTTTAACATCCTGAGAATTGCTAAACTGGCTGTACTATTTTTCATGTCAACCAGCAATGACTGAAGTTTCCAATTTCTCTACATCCTCATCAACACTTGTTATTGTCTGTCTTTTTGATTATAGCCATTCTAGTGGGTGTGAAGTGGCATCTCATTGTGGTTTTGATTTGCATTTCCCTAGTGACTAATGATGCTGAGCATCTTTTCATGTGCTTATTAGTCATTTATATATCTTCTTTGGAGAAATGTCTACTCAAATCCTTTAATAGGACTTCTTTTGATGCTGCCCTAAGTTCTGGACTGTGGCAGGCTGTGGGTACCCAGTGCCCAGTGACTAATGATGCTGAGCATCTTTTCATGTGCTTATTAGTCATTTATATATCTTCTTTGGAGAAATGTCTACTCAAATCCTTTAACAGGACTTCTTTTGATGCTGCCCTAAGTTCTGGACTGTGGCAGGCTGTGGGTACCCAGTGCCCTAGTTACCCCTGGGAAATACCTGCTGTTGTGGAGGTGACTGATCGAAACCAGTAGGTGTTGGTGGTAGGTGGCAATGGTGACTTCGGCACATACATGTTATCATTACAGTCCAGAGCCATAGATCTCTTGCCAAAGGGACCTCAGAGGTGACCTTTATCACCTCCCTCAATTTACAGAAAAGGGTACTGATGCCCAACAACTTGCAGGAGATCACATAGCTGCTTAGGGGCCAAGCATGTATCTCCTCCTCTGTCTACCTCAATACTTACAACTGTGGAGGCCACAGCCACATCCCAGCTCAGAATCAGTGCCCTCAGCCTTTTATTTTGCTTGAATGGCAGCTGGTAGCTTCATTCGCCCCTGGAGCCTCCAACCCCTTCAGGACCTTAAGGTGTCAGCTCATCTGTGCTCCCCCAGGAAGCCCCCAGCTGTCGTCCTCAGTGATGATTATCATTTCTCCTTCTCCCCACCCTCCTAGTATAATTCTGTAGTAGCCCCCGTGCCTGGCTCTATTCTAGGACCAACAACTCCATATTTTGTAAGAGGGGACTGTCAGAGGATCTTCCTCACTTCCCTGTGTGTGGCAATGCCTTGTATCCCAACCACTGGCACAGGACTAGAATTTACATGCTGCTTACTGAGCTGGGCTGAAAATGTCTTGGAAATGCAATTGCTTTACACATGTAGCACCAATCCATGAGAGCATTCATACAGAACAGCAGCAATACAAATGCACCACAACGGGAAATTTCAGTATAATGCTATGGCCTTGACCTCCCTGAGATTAAGTTTTACACTACTAATTGTTTTTTGTTTGTTTGTTTGTTTTGTTTTTATGACCAGTAAGGGGATCGTAACCCTTGGCTTGGTGTCGCCTGCACCGCGCTCAACCAGTGAGCTCACCAGCCATCCCTATATAGGATCCGAACCTGCGGCCTTGGCACTCCCAGTGCCGCACTCTCCTGAGTGAGCCAGGGGGTCGGCACTTAATTGTTATAAGGGAAAGATGAACATTGTCCTATGTTTTGGAAGGTAGTAGAATTTCCAGATCACTTTGAAAGGTCTGCCCATTTAAAGAAATATTTGCCCCATTTTCTTCATTCTGGACTTTAGCTAATGTCAAATGTGCAGAGAGTTCAGTGCGTAAGAGTGGAAGGAATTAGAATACCCCGACAGTGGAGCGCCTGGTTGCAAGGGCTTCACATCACATCTGGGGTCTCATTTAAAAAAAAAATATCCTGTTACCTGCACATGAGTTGGAAACTGTGTTCCAAGGTGTAATACCATTTCTTTATCTTCTCCTTTTGGGATAGCCAGGATGGTTTGCGTTTCCATGTAAAAATGTTCCTGTCCTTCCACATGGACCTCACCTGAAAAGCATAAACACAGGACAATGTTTAATCACAGTCCCAAAGTGGGAGATCTTGGTGGCTTTGATATTTTGAAATACAGTATATATTTGGTTTCCATCCCCATCTTCTGACATACAACTCCTAAAATCCTTGGAATTTCCAAAGTGATGAGTGTCTTTTTGTATGCTAATGAGTTGGAAGTTTATATACCATTTTAACAAATGGCAATAAATTTGTGGAGAAGTGACAAGACAAACAAAAGCAGTTTTGAGCTTCTAGCAGTGGTAAATTATGGAAATATAAATATATGAGGGAAACTAATGGAAGAAAAGGCCTATTTTAGTAAGGTTTGTTATGCAGATTCATTTCAGTGCAGCTTTTGGGCTGATAAGAGTCTAGAATTGTCTCTTGTATGAGAGAGGGGAGGGGGAAGAACTTCATCAAGGGAAATTTATGCCCTGCTTTTAGGTAGAGAGGGGGAAGGTGGAGAATTTTTTTCTGTCTGCTGTTTTTCAATTGCCTTCAGCTCAAAATAATCCTTATGCTAAAGTGGCATATTTTATTTTATTTTATTTTTAGGGTACATTTTATTTATTTTTTTTTTTACTGTTTTTTTTTTTTTTAATTTTTATTTTGTCAATATACAATGTATATGATTATTATGGTAAAGTGGCATATTTTAAATTTTTTTGACTGTTTTTTTTTTTTTAAATTTTTATTTTGTCAATATACAATGTATATGATTATTATGGTAAAGTGGCATATTTTAAATCCAAATTTATTTATTTAACAATTACATAGTATTTACAATATACTAGGTATTCTTTCTGAGGCTTAGCACTTTACAGACAATTAATTCATTTAATCCTTATACCAATCCTATGAGGCGTGTATTATTATCTCCATCTTGTCAACTGGGGAAGCTGAGGCATGGAAAGGTTGAGTAAGCTCCCAAGGTCACACAGATAGTAAGTGGTACAGCTGAGATTGAAACCTAGGCAAGTTGACTCCAAGACCCATGCTCTTAATCACTCTACTCCACTTCTTCTCTATGTTAGCATGCTCTGTGACAGTAATTCCTGCCAAAATTTCCTTCATTTTCAAATTTCCTATTTGTGCCAAAATTCTGAACTCCCACAATTGCCAAAATCCTAGAAGGCAAAGATCCCAAATGGCAAAATTCCAAATGGCATCTTGTCAATCTTGTCAATCTGCTGCCCTTTAGGTGAGAATAACAATTAAAAGAAAATATGCCATGGTGCTTAAGAGCAAGGGCCTTGGGGTCAGCAAGTCCTAGGTTTCATTCTTGCTTCTGCCGCTAACTGGATATGAGACCTAAACCAAGTGTCTAAATTTTATAAGCCTCAGTCTCCTCATCTTTAAAATGAAGCTAATGATATGTTCCTTCTCAAAGTTGTTCTGCTTGCATGTGAAATTGTAAGCAGTAAATACTTAGTAGCTTAAAATAGGTTTAATAATAATACTCATTTTTTAGGGTTGTTATTAGTATCAAATAATATAACACAGGTAAATGCTTAGCACAGTGTCTGGCACAGTAAGTACTTGATAAATGTTAGCTGATATTATTATTATTAAATAATCTTTGGCCCAAATTTATAGTCCTTTAAAAATTTCTTTTAATTTATTTTATAGAATCCATTATGGAGTAATGAATGTTTAGTATAAGTAGTAGATACAGTCAAACCTCTGAGCATCTCTCATGAGTTTACTGGTTGTGTCTGACTACTTTTCTGAGGTAGTAAATTGTTTTTTATAATTGGGAGGCAGTCTACATTTTCTGCTTAAACAGAAAGATGTTGAGAAACAGATATTCTAAAGGTCTCTCCCAGGTATTATTAAATAAAGTGCTTATAGAAATTTTATTTATAATGGCCCCAAACTGAAAATAACTTAAATGTCCATCACTGGTAGAATGGATAAATAAGTTGTGTAATATCTGTGCAATGGGATACTATCAAACAATGACAAAGAACTACTAATCCATGCAACAACATGAATGAATCTTTCATACATAATGTTAAACAAATTAAGTAGGTACAAAACAGGTTCTACTGTAAGATTCCATTTATATGAAGTTCAAAACAGGGAAAAACTAATCTACAGTGATAAAAGTTAGAAAAATACCTTGGGGAGTTACTAAGAGTAGACATATGGAAGATTTCTGAGGTGCTGGAAATGTTCTATATCTTGATGTGAGTAGTTTTTACATAAGTTTATACATACGTAAAAATTCATCAAGCTGTAAACTTATTGTGCATTTTAAACTATTTAAAAATCACACTAGGATAGGAAGCATGACCTTAGAATTTCAGTATTTCTCAAACCAGATGATTGAAATTAGAGTCTTCAGCTTCAGAAGTTTCCCTTTTCTTGTCCAAGACTGCTTACCTTCAATGATTTGATCAACGTATTTAAAGGCTTGCTCTATATTTCCTTGCTCGATTTTTTTCTCAACAGTAAGAAAAGAATTGTGCTCCATAGCTTGCTGCAGTGAAAAGACAAACCAAAACAACAATTTTTTTTTTTTTGCATTCCGATAAGCCATTTGTTCCCCATAAAATTCTAGCTCTTACTTTTTCAGATCTTCACATACCAAGGCAGTCAGAACCAGGGCAGGGTGAAGTCAGCAGAAATCAGATTTAAATGGATTATAGGCATTGGTGACACATCCATTTTGTTCAGCGATCTGGTGAAGAGCCGAGGGGGATACGTGGTATATAAACATGGTCCCACCTCTAGATTGCTGAGTGATGATCTGAAGCAGTTTGGTATGAAGGTGTCAACGCTGGGTGAGAGGGTTACACAGTAGATTAAAGAGGGGTCGCGGGGAGGAGGCTGGTGGAGCCAGGAGTGCTCAGGATGGTCTTGGATAGGTGACCTGAGTTGAATCCTGAATCATGTAATGCCAGGGGCACATAATAAAACAATGGTTTGAATTTGAAACCAAGCTGAGGGGCCAAAATGAGGACAAGGCCAGGCTGGCTGGGGTGCAGGTTTTCTATCAGTAGACAGTGGAAGATGAATTTGGAAAGATGGACTGAGGCTGGACTATGAAAGGCCCTGATGACATACTAAGGAGTTTGGGCCTTATCTAAGGGGACATTGTTGAATAGGAAAAGTGACCGATGAACTTTGTGGTTTAGAAAAGCTAATGTGGTGGGTAGGTATGCTGAAATGGAAGACAAAAGCCTCTTTAAGTGGTTATGGTAGTAAATCAGACAATAGGTGGTGAGGACTGGTCTGGAGGGTAGAGTGAAAGTGAGAATGGAGAGAAAGGGGCAGATTTAAGGGGCACTTAAAGCATAACTGGGAAAGATTTGAACTTGGCAACTTGGGAAGAATGGTGAGAATGAAAGAGACTGCTCGAGGCTGCATCCTACTGCAGGGGTGTGGTTCTTCCTGTCCATCCCTCCATCCCCCATCATCTAACATACATTCATTAAACACTCACTGTGGGTTTAGCTCTTCACTAGGCACTGGGGATAGAAAGCACAATAATATAACATGTCCTTGCCCTCATTAATAACGACAACTAAAACAAAAGTGATCGCTAACTTTTATTGAATGCATTCCCTGTCCCAGGTGCTATCCTAACCATTTTACTTGGATTCTCTCATTTAAACCTCACAATGAACATTTGGTGTAGGTACGTTTATGGTTCCCATTTTATTGATAATGAAATTGAGATATGAGGAGTTTAAGAAACTTGCCAAAGCTTTCATTGCTGTTAAGAGGCTACTAAACGGCAGAGCCAGATTATGAATCCACGTAGTCTGTCTCCAGAGCCTGTGCTTAAGCAGTAAGTGGGCAGGGAGACAGAGGACCCAATAGTTATATTACAGTAAATGTTACAACTTTTATGAGTTCTATAGTACTCTAGATTTTCCCACTGACTAGTTTTATATGTGAGGTCATAAGGACATTTCTCTGGTGTTAATTACCTGCTTTCTTTCTTTTTTTTTTTTTTAAATTTTTTTGGTGGCTGGCCAGTACAGAGATCTGAACTCTTGACGGTGGTGCTCGGTGTTACCAGACTGTGCTCTAAGCAAGTGAGCTAACCAGCCAGCCTGATTATATGTATTCTTAGGCCATGCCTTGGCAAGATGCCATGGCAGAAAAGGGCACGGGATGCTTCATTTCCACAGATCCTTGCAGAAGCACTGGTGGGAAGGAGGGGTCCAGGCAGGAAAGGTCTCAGTATTCTGTCTTGAGGTGCAGATTGCTGGAGCCTTCACTCTAAAACTACAGCTAACACTGAACAAAGTATAGATGGAGCCCAACTTATACTATTTTATGACTCTATGAGTTGAATTCTTCCTAAAGTACACCACCCTAGTCATTCTAGAAGACACAAAGTGGTCTGGCTACCTTTATTGTGATAATCATCGGTTTTATGTCTTCATAAGTGATCTTCACTTTTTTAGCTGCCTCTTTTGCATGAGCGTAGGTATCAGCAGCCACCGTGCAGATGATCTGACCCACGCAAATTACCTGCAGAAAAAACGCGTGTTAATTAGCTAAAATGCAGAATCATTAAAAAGGTATTACTGTCCCCACATTCCTACATTTGTTCACTGGGTTTTTGTAACGAAAAGAAAGATTATTTTTTACCTACAAGAATAAATTTATAACAGTGGCTTGAGTGGGACGGAGAGGGCACAAAAATTGTATGTAGAACTTCATTATCTGGCTTTAATTATCTGCTTTCTGGTTGTGTTTAGCCACATTCCTCACTATTTCCATAGCACACAAAATGATCCCATCATCCTGAAATTCTGCTGGTTCTTCCAATGTCCTATGCTCTATTCATATAGTGCTTCTATGACTTTTATAACTTTTTAGAAGCCTTTGTTGAGAGGACTTACAGCTTTTATCAGAATCTCAAAGGAGTTCACAATTCAAGAGAGAAGTTGAGAATAACTGAGGTGGAGTCATTGGTTTCCAGCAAGTCTTTGTGATGTGAACATGAATCAGTGAATGTCATAGTCACAAACAACAATCATGTTGTCATTTCCAGCAAAGTATTTGAATGATAAATAAAAATCACACACCTCGTTCTGTGCATATATAATCTCTCCATGATGGTTATTATCTCCTGGAACATCCTCTGCTGTTATTACATCCACCACACCTGGAAGTGCCAGGGCTTCTGAAATATCAATTGATCTAGGAGAGAAAATTTGAAAGCAATTATTATAGTTGCAAGGGCAAGCTCATGGTACAATATGAATGATTCCTCAAACACAGAAAAACTACAATGGATCTCATAAGTAAATCATGGAGCAATATTCTAGGTTGAATAATACCAGTATTTAGCAGATGTTCTAACTCTCGACTATAAATTCTTTCGTAACTATGCTCAATCTGATTTTCATCCAGAAGAGGAAATATCTTCATTGACTTAAATATATAATACACTCTCAATTTGAATATGAAACTGTGAACACCATTTCAGTAACATAGAGGAACATCTTTCACTTCCTTACATGATCTTTGCATGAGCTCTGGTGCTGGTGACTACAGCCAGGAAGAGTTCTTGATCAATGGGGGGCATGTCATCAATAAATACAGCTTCCCCTGTGGCGTGTTTAATGGCTGATTGGTGCATGACTGGGTGTCCAACTGGATCTTGTGGGGACTGGTAGGGATCCACACACTGTTCATGAACAAAGCAGATTATTTTACTACTAGAAATTCTTATGCTCTGAAAATTGGATCTTGTAATTCTGGCTTACTCACAAGTGAAAAAAACTACATACAGGCAATTGTATTCATATCTGTGAGTCAAGGTTAGTACATGTCCATTGAGTACAATGGTAAGGGATATATTCTGGTTACAACATAGCTCCTCTCCCCTCCTAAAAAGGAAGACATCATTCCTGTCCTCAAAAATTCAACGACCTTGTTGAGGAATCAGAACACATACAGACACACATTAAAATAATGTAGTCAACTTCACATAGCAATAAAGAATGGTTTACACAACTACTATGGGGCAAGGAAAATACACAAGGTCCAGGGAGATTCAGGGTCGCTTTCTAGAGGCAGTAAGCATTGAGTCAAGTTTTAAGGCAGGGTAGACACTGGTCAAGAAAAGAGGAAAATTTTAGGCAACAAAACAGAAAATAGTGGGAGAAGGGTGATTCAGAATCTAATTCCTGTGTAGCCATGAGTAAAGGCATAAAAGCTAAGCAAGCAAGTCATGTGAGTGTAGCAATAGTTAACATCAGCCTAATTCAGTAGACGTTATCTATACAAGTAATAAAAAATACAGTTTTGAAAAGGGGAGGTGCATGCATAATGCATACATCTGAATGCATAAATGGATTAAAACCCAAGAAACTCTACCCACCAACCTGGAACATCTGAATTCCTTGGGGTGTTTCTATGGGAAAATCTTCTAGAGCACTCACAAACTTTTCTGGGATATCAGGAAACTTCTTGGGATTCTGAAAAGAAAATTATTTCACATTTAATTTTACAATCTGATTAATTAGCTTGGGAAAAAGTGTGTAGAAATAAGGTTATCTAATCTATTCTCCCAGATCTTACATTCCAGTTTGCTGGGAGGAAGCCCTGAGCTTTGAGTTCTCTAGGCTAGTAACAGATATTTGAAGAATGACTGCATCTGTCTGTGCACACAGAAAAGTGAATGTTATTATTTCCAAGAAGTAAAGATTTTCCTTCATGACAAGGTCTCCTTTTGAATGAGTGGAAATATGTACACTTCTAAGTGGAGGCTATACTTTCAAATCTGGGCCGATCTTCTGGGCATGTATCTCAAAGAAGCAATTGAGGGAGTAGGTGAATATTAAATTACAAGGATGTTCAATTGCAGATGTGATAGTGAAGAAACTGGAATTAAACTAAATGTCCAACAACAAGGAAATGGCTAAACAAATTATGGTACATCCAGATATAATATTCTGCAGTCACGAAAAATGATTTTATAAAAATGTTTTACTGAAAATGAAAAATATTTATGAAATATAGTCAAGAGGAAAAAATTACTAAAGTTTATGTACAGTACAATCCCATTTTTTTGTAAGGGAGAGAAAAAAAGAACAGGAAAACATAAAAGTATGTATTGCAAAATGTTAATAGTGGTTATGGTAGGTGCTATGGTTTGAATGTGTCTCCCAAAGTTCATATGCTGGAAACTTAATCCCCAATGCAGCAGTGTTGAGAGGTGGGACCTTTAAGAGGTGAGTAGCATTAGTGTCTCTGTCATAGGAATGGGTTTGTTATTTTGAGAGTGGGTTTGTTATGAAAGCAAGTTTGGCCCTCTCTTCCCTTTCTCTCACCCTCTCTTGCCTTTCTGCCTTCTGCCACGGGATGACACAGTATGAAAACCCCTGTCAGATGCTGCCACCATGCTCTTGGACTTCCCGTACTCCAGAACCATGAGTCAAATAAATTGTTCATTACACATTAACCGGTCTGTGGTATTCTGTTATAGTAGCGTGAAATAGACTAAGACAGTAGGATTATTGGATTACAGTTGATTTTTTAAATTTTTACTTCTTTGTTTTAAGTTCTTCTATAACGATGGAAAATACAATATGAGGGTACTTCAAAAAGTTTCTGGAAAAATAGAATTAAAAGATAATATGAATCTTTCCATGAGCTTTATGAGGTACCCTCATATAATAGAATGTAATATGCAAGAGGATATGTGATAATGTATGACAAATATAAAATTAAAACTTACATTTAATAGATTATATATAATAATAGGCATATACAGATTATATATTTATATGCTGAAATCTTATAGAATACATTATAAAGTATATAATGATCTGTAATAAAATATAATTAAAGTGATAGTAATAATAAATAATGTTAATAAAAATAATTAAAAAAGGACTGGCTGAACTGACAGAGTAAATGCGTCAGTCATGACAGAAATGTGTGTGTAGTCATATTTTGCCATTTTGGGGTCAGCTCATGACTTATCAAGGGTACACTCACAGTCATAGACCATATTTTGAGAAACACTGTTGTGGAGATTATTTTAAAGTAGGCTAGGTAAGAGAAAAATAGTTAACAGAAAACAAGAAACAATCTAAAAGTCCAAAAATAAGAAATGGATCAAATAATGGCACAATTATCCATGAACATGCCATGCAACCATTATGTCACGATGTCACTGAAAAATATTTAATGGCATTAGGAGACGTTTATGTTAGTTAAGTGAAGTAAGCAAGCTATACCAAGCAGTTGCACATATACATACACACCCATAAAGAAGAGTTTAGAAGGATGCACATCACAATATTAATAGTGGTTATTTATGGATGATGGGATTACAAATGACTTTCTTTTCCATTTTGGCTTCTTCACATTTTCTAAATATTGAAGTATTATTTTAATAAGGAAATTTTCTTAAAAAAAGGAAAAGCTATTACAATTACTTACTGAAGGCTTTTCAGCACTGTAGGTTAACTTGATACTGCATATCAGCGTTTGTTACACAGATTACAGGGCAAATGGAATAACAAGATTGTTTTCTCCTCAGCCCAGAAGTGAAGGGAGAGAGGAGAGAACAAAGCAGACCCAGGAGGAAGCATCAGAGGCTGGAAGCATCACACTGTGGACACCATTCCAAATGCCCTCAATGCATTATCAGAGCCAGGCAGAGGAAGTCCTTCACATGTGATGCATGCTCAGAATGTCAAGGTACCCAGAGACCCACAGAGGTCAATTACCATTTTATTCAGGCCTCGCTGTACTTTGAGGTAGAATTTGAAGAGTAAGCTGGTGATGAGGGTTCGCCTGTATTCCACCATGCCACCCCGAGCTGCTGGTGGGATGTAGATCTCATCCAGGACCAATCGGCAGGCGTCGCTCAGCATTTGGTCATCCCACTGCCTAGTAGAAAAGGATGTAAAGATTTCACTGAAGAGGCAAAGTCAGACACTAAAGGGGTAGGGCAAGGAAAGATGGAGAGCAAACTGTATCCACCCTCAGAGCCCAAACAAAATACCCTCAAAACATCTCATTAACTTTCTTTAGTATACGTTGCAGTGGTTCCCAAACTTTCCTCACCTTTGTTATTATTTTCAACTTCATGGGTTGAGAATGTTGATTTACCTCAAATAGCTTGGGTTAAAAAAAAAAAAAAAACCACCAAAAAACCAAAAACTAAAACCCAAGCTTCCTGAGATCCTGGGCTTTGTCTCTCTGCCTGATGGGTGGATAAAAATTATTGTAAAAGCGCTAGTTGGAAGAATTTAAAAAACTTACTTTCCAAATGCTAGAAGTAATGACAGTAACAGGAAGAATCCTATTTAAACTTTTTGAATATTTTATCTTCTTTATGTGGGTTAAGGACATTTTCACATAAATGTTTTTATATGCCTTAGGACACACTACGGGAGACTTTACTTATTTTACAGATTAAATAAAAGTGAAAATTTAAAGATGATAACTACTCAAACCACGTAATTTATGCATTAATCTAATTATAGAAACCTGCAATGAAAGAGTCATTGTACCTTGAACAAGTTGGCTTTTGGGTGGCTTGTACCTTCTCTATACTTTTCTGCAGTGCTTAAATTTTCTAGATGATTTCATGCATAGTTTTACAACCAGAAAAAATTCCACAAGTTCTATTTTCATTAAAATACTAAAAGTAGAAAGGCCTGAGTTTCATGTCCCAGATATGCTATGACATACCTTCCAATGAGCTGCTTGCAGGTTTGGCTTGCAGAGAAAACGGTGGGGCCAACGCTTCCATAGAACATTTGAAGGTCCTTGACTGTGTTTGTGCCGTCTTCAAACTTCACACTCATCCCGGCATTGACAATGGCAAAGGCATTCTCCTGACGTTGGGCCAGCCGGAGTCCTGACACAAAGTGCCACTGAAGATAGAAAAACACTCAGAATGTTTAGTGCCTATCTCCGTAGTCTGCTGTACAGCAACAACTCTGATGATGATTTGTAATGAAGAGGGTCTAGGGAATGATATATTACAAATGCGCTGTTATTGACGATAGTGTTGACTAAATGTGAGCACTGTCCTATGGGCTTCATACGTGTTGATATTTAATCCTCACAACAACTCTACTCATTTCCACTTTACTGATGAGTAAACTGAGAGGTTACGTAGCTTGCACAAGGTCACACAGTAAGTGGCAGAGCTTGGGGTCCAACCCAAGATGTCTGGCTCCAGAGTCTATGGTTATCCACTAAGCTCTATGCCTTTCAACTCTAAATTGCCACATGTGGCCTTGGGCAAGTGACTTAAACTGTTTGGGTCTTAATTTTCTTTAAAATGAGAAGGATGGGTTTGATCCAACAGTGACTTCTGGGCTGCTGAGTGGGATGAAGATCAGGAGAGAGGGTGCCTCTCAGCTTGAACTACCACAGCTTCACTTGTACCGATTTTAGTTTGGCGGTCTCTGTAAATTTCATTTGAATAAAGAGTTCTACTATCAAAAAGAAAAAGCTTGAAAACCACCGGAGCAAATGGTCCCCACACTTCTTTCTGGGTCTAAACCTGTCATTCCAGGTTAAATGTCATTACTAGTGTGGAACACTAGAGCCACGCAGGGGGAAAGCCTCTCTGGGCAGCCAGCACCTTGGGGGGTGGGGATTAAATCCTCCCACCACGGACCCTGTCAAGGATAACACATTTTTGATAGAGAAAGCACTGGTGATGAAGAAGTTATTTGAGACACTGATGATGTCTACTCTGCTATACTGACTGGGGGGCACCTCCGTCTCCATGCCTGTTATCTCCACCCTCATCACCACCCCCGCCTGAATTACCACATTAGCCTCCTAACTGGGCATTCTACCCTCAGTCTCTCCCCCACCCTATTTACCCTCTATCTTTCTGCTGGGTTGATATTCTTAAAATACCACTTTTCTTTAAAATTCACCTTGCTTTGAAGCCTTCAAAGGTGGCTGTCTGCTAGAATATGTACAAACTCCTTGATGGAGCGATCCATGTACAGCACTTGGTGAGGGGGCCCCAGCCGCCCTCCCCCCCCCAATGACAGGATTGGACCAGAGAAGCTGAAAAGTCTTCTCTGGGTCTTAGAGACCGTTACACACAGTTAGGCCTAAGAACTTTAAAGCTATTTGGAAACAACCTCATATTATGTATATATCTCACAAATGGTAAAACTGAGGTCCAGAGAGGTTATGTGACCTTCCCAAAGTATGAGCGGCAGAGGTGGTATTCCTGATATAAAATATATATATACATATATTTGTATATATACACACGCATATACATATACATCAGAGTACTTCAAAAAGTTTGTTGAGGGGCCGGCCCGGTGGCGCACTGCTACAGTGCGCCGCTTGGGAGTGCGGCGGCGCTCCCGCCCGAGGGTTCGGATCCCACATACAGACCGGTTCCCGCTCACTGGCTGAGCGAGGTGCGGGCGCAACACCAAGGGTTGCGATTCCATTGCCGGTCCCGGTCCGGTACGGGCGTGACACTGAGGGTTGCGATCCGTTGCCGGTCATGAAAAAAGACAAAAAGGAAAAAAAAAAAAAAGTTTGTTGAAATATAGAATTAAAAGGTAATAGAAAATTTTCCATGAATTTTTTGAAGTGCTCTTATGTGTGTGTGTAGATGTATATATCTATAGTATATTTATATTTTTTCTTAAACAGTTTACTATACTCTTATTTGGGCCACAATGTTTTTTTAAAAATGTAATTTTAATCAAAGAGAAGATATCTTACATCAATAGCCCTATAAAAAATATTCATTTGTTTTTATTTCCTTGAGTTTAAATCATTTTTCCTCCACAAAGTCGAAAGACACTCAAAATGTCTTTGAATAAAAAAAGAATAAGTAATATGCCCCATAAACTTGATTTTGTTTAAAATGAAAAGTTGTATATGAAAAATTTCCATTTTTATAAAACACTGGAATGAAATATGCCATAAACCTTTAAAACTAGAGACACTTCTCATTAATTTTTTCTTCAACTGCTTTGATACTACAATTTGAACTGCTCATAAATGTTGCCAAATATTTAAGAAAAATTGTGCAGTTAAGTATCTGATCTACAAGATACAGGACATCTGGAGAGGAGGGCTGTTATCACAGTTTCATCCTTAGGTTTAAGGTGATGTAAACATAGCCTATGAGTCTAAATTACATGTACTTGGGTCCCTGGTTCATGGTTTACAGCAGGAGCTACATGACTGACAGTGATAAGCATAGAACAGAATGCCTGAAGTGTGGTCTCTTACCTTTAGATCCTAGATTGATGGTAGCATTTCCTGCTGCTAAAATGGGATTTAGGTCAGAATAATTCGGCCGGCTCACCACATGTCCTCCTAAAGTCTAAATTAAAAAGGATGACATTTAAAAAGCTACACTTATTTATTAGACAAATAAAAAATATGTATACAGGGATCTTGTGTAAGTTTTTAATTCTCTTCTTTACTTTGTAGAAAGATCTGGCAGAGTTTGGGGGCAGCTAAACAAATCAGACAACACGTTGAGCAAGATTCTCTCTCCTGACCTCATCCAAATGTATAGCTTGAGAAAACTTTCCTTTTCCACGTGCAATGAGGAGGAACAATTTCTTTGAGAACTGACCCTAATATGCATTTGTCTTTGTTTGAAAGCATTCCTCGATAGGCATGTTTGCTTGTGAAGTAGACGGCGAAAAGGGAAATGAATGGGAATTTGGGGGCTAGTGCCAGCAGGTTAGGGGGAAGAGGGGAAAGGGCCAAAGGGAGGAAACAGCGTCCAACAACATGGGGGAGGGTGCAGAGACTGGAGCCTGAGTAATCTCTAAAGAACCAGGAAATGGAGCATTTACATCCAAAATGCCTGCTCTGCTGCTGTGCAGTAGAATGCTTCTGTCGCCTTAGGACTTCAGTAAAGGTTGCTTCACACAAGCCTTGAATAGAGGACCTTAGGGAGGCTTAAGGGGACAAGTCAATGTTGAGAGGAGCAATGTGGTTCCCAAAAGGGATGGAAGACGCAGAAGATGAAAACACATGGTGGATTTTGAGAATCAGCAGAAGGGCCAGAGACAATTAGGAGAAATACAGTATCTCCTGGCCCCCACCGAGTCCTGATGAACTGCCCAGAGTGTGGAACGGGGAGTGGTTGGGACCAATTCCTCTTAAATCTTAAATAACAAGGAAACCCCAATAAGCTAGAAAAATGGGGGAGTCCAATCATGCACATATGGGATACACATGTTTAGGAATTGACCTCGATACAAAGGTTTAAGAGGAGAACCAGCCATATAAGAGCATTTTGGAAATGTAGGCCATTGTTTACTATACCTTGGATAAGACATATTTCATTGCCTGTTAGAGCTGGACAGGACCTGAGTGACAATCCATTTGGTTGAATCTTAATTTTTATGTGTATAGTTTTTATTTTTAAAATTTTTAATTGACGAATAACATGTATATTTATGAAGTATGTGTGGACACACGCACTCACCCTCATACTGTACACACTTGTTCAACATTAACTTGGGATTCCTCTTCAGAGTAATGTTTGTTAAACTGAACAGAACTGAATGACTTTCTATAACTGTGGCTTATTTTATATAACAGTAGAGAACATACGGCCATATTCTTAATCTGGGCTCCTGCAAGTGTCCTCAGATGCTTCAGGAGAGCACGAAAAGTCTTTGTCTTCTCTTTTGGTTGCTCCGAAACAATAAAATGTAAGGCATCATTCAACTGGGCCAGGCTGTATCCCGCACCTATTGTAACCCCTAAAAATAAGGGAGTGGAATATGAGCTTAAAGGGAACTGTAACGAGATAGGGTTGCAGGACATAGTCTTTTAAGTATATCTTCTTTTTTCATATTTACTTAGAATGGCAAAAGCCAAAAATAACTAAAGATATTTCTGACAACTTGCTTTATTCCCAAATATTAAGTACCAAATCCTTTTCTGAGACACATACATAGTCATATATGCCATACATTTTAGCACATGTCAACCATAGATATCTAAAATTCATTATTTCATTTACTCCCCACTTACTGTTTTCCTGAATAAATTGATCAAATATGAAAACTCCAGCCATTGTCCTATAAGATTCTTTTTTTTAAAGATCATTAAACCTAAGTGGGAATTGACCTGCAAAATTTGCAGTGCCTGTTTGTCCTCCTTCCCCAGCCATCTCTTCCAATTGCTGCCTTATCAAAAAGATAAGAATAAACACCTGCCTGTACCTTGGGCCAGTTTAATTTGCAGGTATGATTTGAGTAGTGATGTCATCTGGTTCATGCAGTCTCAATGGGGACAATACTGCTTGCAAGGGAGTGAAAAAATCTTACTCTTTTTTATGTATGAAGCATTGACACACATTCTGTACATAAACAGATATATGGTTTGCGTGTGATATTAAAACTTCAGGGAGGGATGATTAGGGAAACAACGTCTTTTGCTCCTTAGAGGGGTGGTAATGAAGAAAGGGTTGAAAAATGCTGTGGATTGAATGTCACCCAAACTCACTGAAGCTTAATCCACACTGTAGCTGTTAAGAGGATGGGAAATCCTAATATGGTAATTGAAAGGTGGGGCCTTGAAGATGTGATTAGATTGTGAGGACCCTGCCCTAGTGAATGGATTAATCCATTGATGGTTTAATGGTGGTCATGTTTTTGTGGTTCTGATGGCTTTAAAAGGAGAGCATGTGAGAAGCTCTCTCTGCTCAAACCATCTGCCATGTGACACCCTGTGTCACTGAACAGTGCCACCACCAAAGAAAGCCTTCACCAGATGTGTTCCCTGGACTTTAGACTTCCCAGCCTCCAAAACTGTAAGCAATAAATCTTGTTTCCTTACTAATTACCCAGTTTCAGGTATTCCTGTTATAAGGAACAGAAACGGACTAATACATAGTTCTACAGTCTCCACCTCCCAGTCCCTCTATACCACACCCTAACAAATTACTCCCACACCTTCCTCCCAACCCTTGCCAGTACAGCCTGGTCTCCCCTTGCTCCATCTCCTCCTGTGAGTCTGTTGATACAGATAGACTTTCCAACAGATAAAAAAACGAATGAGTAAACTGATTTAAGATTGGCAGGTCAGAGAGGATAGCAAGGTATTATCCACTTGATTTCTGTTTACTCATTAGGGAGGACCTTATTTTATAGGATTTTTAGCTCCAATAGCCTGTTATCCATTCAAATGCCTAGTGGGTAGTGAATAATGGGATATGTTTTTCCGACATCCTTATTAAGTGTATTATGTGGAATGAGTAAGGAGACGTAGGATCTTAGTCCTAACTTGGCCATATGTCAGAACTTGGTGTGTGATGTTGGGGAAGTTACTTTGATTCTATATCTTCAGTAGGATTATGGAGATGTCAAGGCTACCTACTATGTCTACCTCCCAGGGTTGTCCTGAGGATCAAAAGATAAGAGATGTGACAGCACATGGTAAATTGCGAAAAGAGTGTAAAAATAAACATTGTGAAAAGGGTCACAGTTACATTTAAATCTTGTGGTCCAGACTTGTGTGTGTGGGGGGTGTGAATGTATATGGCTATGGGATAAGCCTTGAGCAAATTCGTGAATCAGGGATTAATGTGTGGCAAGAACATTTCCTGCTGGCCAGCAAATGTCTTAACATTTTCTTATTTGGTCAGTTCCTCCATACCTTGCTGAGCTAGTTCTGTGGCATTTTCCCACCATTATGGCTTTTATGACAATGTAGTACTCAGTGATGTAGCTCACTTTGAAAAAGCTCATAGAGGGCACATAGTAGATGCTCAATAAATAGCTTTGAATGAATAAATGAATAAACAAGGTCAGATATTCTCTGAAGTGCTCAGATTCACCCAGCGCATGTAACTGATTACTAACGGCTCATCAACAGCCAATGGTTACATTTTATTTGAAAACGAAGGTGCTTACCATCATCTGTGGGGTTCACAAAATGTAGTTCTGGCAGCCCAAGAGGAGATATGAAAACCGGATGGAATTCATCTGTGAATTTAATCCTGGGTCCTGAAGGGGAAAAGTGTTTAAAGTAATTAGAAAAATTAGGAAAGGAAGACGATGAATGTTAATAGATGTTGCTTCCTGATAAGCCATAGTGAAAACTGTGACTTACATGAGTCATTTGCAAAAGAAAACAATAAAGCATTCTAAAGGACCAGAGTATCATTAATAAAAATGAATTGCATTGACAAAGAGTTTAAAGAGACACAGATGTTTAGGTTACCTAATCTAAAGAACATGTGTAACAACCACCCACCCACTGCAGTGTTCCCCATGATGAGTGGGGCTTTGGGGTAATTAGCTCTCTGCTCCAGAAGGTCATCCAGGGTCACTGGGGTGATCCAGGTAGTCCTCTCTCCTTGGAATGTCAGCCTCCTCTTCTTTGGGTTTTCTGCCATTCTCTACAGAGAAGCAAAGCCAATATGATTTCAAGTAAGGCTCGTGAACAACAAGCCATGAGTACATCCACTGCTCTGGGTGTCCAAGTGGCCGGCCGGTCATTTCAGCTTTCTGAGGAGACCCATCTTCTAGGGATCAGGAAAGGTGGTCTGTTTGAAACCACTCAGACTGAGATCCATGTGGGCACCACTGAACAGATATGGGTGTCGATGAAGAACTGGGTGTAGAGTAAGCCCTGTCTGCTTTTCTGAAGTGAGTGTGTGGGAGGAAGCAGCACGGAGGGTAAAAGTGCCAGGCTTCTTGTCCTCGCCATGGGTGTCGATGAAGAACTGGGTGTAGAGTAAGCCCTGTCTGCTTTTGTGAAGTGAGTGTGTGGGAGGAAGCAGCACGGAGGGTAAAAGTGCCAGGCTTCTTGTCCTCGCTACACCCTAACAGTGACTCAGAGGAGACTCAACTTTGGGGATTAGGATTTTTGGAGGACAAAAATTGCTTATAGGCAAAACTATCCTTGAATAAAATGCCTCAAATGATTCACCAGGTATAGTATAAATGGATTGTTTTTACAACTCTGTATACACATACACACATATGTATATATCTATACCTATACATATAATTTCTATCCTTGAATAAAATGCCTCAAATGATTCACCAGGTATAGTATAAATGGATTATTTTTACAACTCTGTATACACATACACACATATGTATATATCTATACCTATACATATAATTTTGAAATACTAGACTCACACTTGAGGGTGTCCAAGGCCTCACACTTTGAGAGGTGTGTGGGGACTGAGACCTCTGAGAAGCCAGTGTAATCGCATCTCTCATCTCATGCTCCCTCCAGGGAACAGTCATGGAATGGAGTGGTGGGCGCACCACAGCATGCATTGATTTATTTGGGGGCTTGGCCAGCGTGGGGATCTGAACCCGTGACCTTGGTGTTACCAGCACCTCTCTAACCAAGTGAGCTAACCAGCCAGCCCTTCACCACATTATTTATATTATTTTCTCTCTTTCCCTCCACCGAGTTGAAATCACAAATGTTAGTTGTAAGAATAGTGTAAACTCATTATTCCAAGTATCATTTGATTCTTGCTTTACCTGTTTTACAAAATGCCTTTAAGATATCTCTCAGTATAGCTACCCTCTGACCGCAGGATCTTCAGGTGAGTTGGACCAAAGCATCTCTAAGGTCCTGGCAGAAACACTCTTCTAAGCTGTCTTCTTCAAGTTATTTACAGGAGAGCTGAGCCAGTGGGGTATTGCTCCATTATCCATGTTGAACACACTTCCAACTTTTAATATCTGAAACTCGGTAATTCCACAGTGTAATACAAAAGGGCATATAACCAGACCGTGTTATGAGACGACAAAAGTAAAGTATCTTACTATCAGCTCAGGAGGGAATATAGGCTCCTGGGTTGGATCCAAGGGCTGGAATTCATCTTCATTATACAGTTTGGTACATATCTCAAAACAAAACAAAATACAGATATAATTACAAGGAGAACTTCAGAGTTACTGAGAGAGTCTTTAAGTGTGTGAGACTTCAGAGTCAGGGCCGCTGCGCCTGGCATCCCCAGCACAAAATGGAGGTGCCAGAGCCACAGAATGTCCCTGAATGGAATTCTTCCCTCCCTCACAGGACCACAGGATGGTCTCCCCAGCAGATTTACTGGACTTTGGTTTTCCTCCTCAGGCATCGGAAACTGGGTTTGAAACTTCTTGCTGAGTCTCAGGTACTATTTGCAGATTTTTTTTGGCATGAGCCTGAAGGTGCACCACTGCTTAGTTCCTCTTTGTGTTTGTTGGGGGTGTTGGTAAACCCATATTAAGGCACAGAGAGTTAGGTGTAATGTTTTCGAAGGAAAACAGCCTTCTGTGGTGATCAGCCTCATGGAAGTCATGGGCTTGCTAATTTTTGGAGCTCCTTGGGACTCCAAAGTGCCCTGAATTAACTTATTTTGCACTTTACTCACTGAGAAGAATAGAAAACTTGAATAAACTTGCATTTATGTGGTTATTTTTCAGTCAATCCCAACTGAAGTGGAACAACCAGATACATACCTTTTCCTGTCGATTCACAAAAGACCTCTCTTCTTGATCCATGCAACATTTTCCTGATCCTTTCATTTGACAAACAGTTGATTCCTTAGGGAACAAGGCAGTTAAAATCAAACTTATGGGCTGATTTTTTTAAACACCTACCTAAGTACCTGGCAGGGTGGGTTAAAAGCGATTCTGTCACTGAACAATTAAAGAAAATTACAGAGAGTGTGCAACCATGCTCACGGTAGAGCCTTGTAAATGGTGTCACTCCAGTCTCTGGGGAAGACAAAGGGGACTAGAGATGGATATGGTCTGCCAGTCTGCCACTAAGGCTTCCTGCTGGAAGTGAGATAAATGGAGTATAGTTATAATGTGGTAACTAAAAAACCCAAACAGATCGCTCTTCTTTGTTTAAATGACACAGCATGTGTCTTTTAATAAAGTCCTGGGAAGACATACTGCCTTTGAGACTTTCTACACACACGTGTAAATAAGCTGAAAACCCAAGTTTATCTGGATGTTATTGGAGTCATTCTGAATTATATAGATGATTCAAGCCCCAAACCATTTAATCTTAATTTTCAGGACATTTCATGCAGAGCCAAATGTGTAGTGGTTTTGGCCTAAATTCGTTTGTCAGTTACTGTAACTGTCAGACTGTTCTTGTTTGCCCTTTTCAATGTGCAAACCCTGCCTAAGGGTCTGTGGCAATTTGGAGATGCTGCGCTTCACACATGGAGTCAAGGAGACCTGGGGTCTGGTTCCTGCTTTACCACATACTAGCCAGGTTGAGCTTGTTAAATTAGGATAAAACCCAAAAGGTTTGTTAGATTAAAACATGAGAAGAGTTGGACACAGTGTCTGACACAGTTGCTGCAAAAGTGGCGACTGATATTTTTGCTTGTAAGGTCATTTTCTACAGAGTTAAGAAGGGATTTGGATTTCGTGACAACACTGTGCATAATAAAGGAACTCAGTACAAGTTCATGCATTGGGGGCCTAGAGTGAGTGAGTAAAAATACCTATTTTTCTCTATATCTTTATAGATAAATTAGATATAGATTTTGTATAGATTTTGTCTCCAGGAAAATAATCACATGGTATTGGGTTGAATAACATGAAGTTGCTGTTTTTGTAGGTCAAAAGTGGTAGAATATTGGCTAATCATATGGTACAACATAAATAGTATCTTACCCAGGACTTAAAATAAACTAGCCTGTAGTTCGTAAAACTTCTGAAAATTCTTCATTAATGGCATAAAATCACATCTTTTTCAAAGACTTTATAGTGCTTGTAATGAACTGGTGTACCTTGAATTATTTTTACCATAAAAAGTGGGTGCCGGAATAACACCCTAAAATCTTCTCAAAAGCATATCTCCTCTTGACATTTAACTTTCTGAAAATAATATATTTCAAAACTACCTGCCCCCCAGTACATTACCTTTTCCCCCCCAACTTCCTTTGCCCTATCTTGTTTCTTAATCTCTCAACTTTGAAGGTGACTTGGATTCTTTTCTCATTGCACTTGTCACTAGGTGCTGGTTATGATTCTGACAATCCCCTTCTAGAATGTTATCTTTCTGTCCCCACATGAGCCACACTGGTCTAGGTCATTATTCCTTATGCATGGAATACTGCACTACTCCATGCCCTCAATCCCCACGGTATCTCCCCAGGCTTATTCTTCCTATAGGCAGGTGTCAAGAATTTTCCTTCTGAAACACTGTTCTCATTGTGTTACTCCTAGCTTGAGACCAGATAATGACCACATGTTGGTTATCAGCTTTAAGTCTGAATTCCTTAGCCCCAAACACTATCTTTTTACATTCCAGTGCTTCAGTCACATCGATTTCTTACCACGACCTTGGACATCTTTCTTTTTCCTCTTTCTCTGCATTTTCTTACTTGGAATTTTCTACTGGCCTCTCTTCAGGCATTCATTTCTATCACTTCCATTAGGACCTAGCTCAAAACTTCCTTTCTCCAATAAGTTCCCACTGTCTCTTCCCTTCCCACTTATTAATNGCTTGAGACCAGATAATGACCACATGTTGGTTATCAGCTTTAAGTCTGAATTCCTTAGCCCCAAACACTATCTTTTTACATTCCAGTGCTTCAGTCACATCGATTTCTTACCACGACCTTGGACATCTTTCTTTTTCCTCTTCCTCTGCATTTTCTTACTTGGAATTTTCTACTGGCCTCTCTTCAGGCATTCATTTCTATCACTTCCATTAGGACGTAGCTCAAAACTTCCTTTCTCCAATAAGTTCCCACTGTCTCTTCCCTTCCCACTTATTAATTCTCTTTAATCCATCTTCCTTCAAAATTTATATACATGATATATAGAATATATAGAATTTTTAATATCTTGCTTTTCATTTCTGCTTTTATTGTTTCTATGTTTCATTTTCTTTAATAGAGTGTGCATTTCTTGATGCCATGGACCATATACTATACTTCTCAGGAAAGTGCCAAATTTAGAGCTATGAACAAGATAGATGCTAAGGCTTTACTTAAAAACATACCAATGGAGGGCAACTTTAAGTGGTTAGAAAGGTCATCATGAGGTTAATTTAGAGATTAATGAATCGAATAGATTATTTTATGCAAAGGTTTGTTAATATATAAGTCAACAGAATAAACATTCTTTTTTAAAAAAACTTACCACGCAGAAAGTTTTTCCACTTTCTATGATTGGTCGGTATCCAGTGCAGCGGCACAAATTACCTGATTAAGAAGGAATCAAGTTTTAAGAAATAAGACAGAAATACATTGCATGTCTGTGCTTCATGTTTTCCGTGGAAGAGCTATATTAGGAACTAGATTCTTCTTTGTTCCCTAAAACCAGCTAGATGGTTCTTTGGAACAAATGTTCCCGTTGGAGATGGTCTTCAAAAACAGATGTTGTGATTGCATTTTCTTCCTGAAATACCACAAAGATCTTCATAGTTTTCCCAACCAACTCTTCCTGCCTCATTTCCCACCCCTATTCTAGCTCGTGTCCCTCCCACCCTCAGAACATCTCATGTGTGGCCCTCAGCAAGCCTTCTCATCCGGTCTCTTCTCCCAAAATGCCCTCTTGGGCAAAGAGGGACTGGGACCACTTAGCCAGTATCAGGGGTTTTTGTTTTCTTTTCATTCTTGGTCACATAATCAGTGCTAAGTCCACAAGCCGTACTAAAGCTCACCAGAGGAAAGCTAATTGCATCCATTACAGAAATTCTTTTGACTCTAAGAAAAAAAAAAGATGGAAATTCAAAAATTTTATTCTATCCCCTTAGTCTTAAAGGGAAAAGACTAGATTAAATGAAACAATGATTTATACCAGTAGACTATTTTAGAAGTTATGTGGTTACATGAATTACATTTCTTTGAACTTTATTTTATGTTATTGTTTTTCTTAAAATATAAACATGAAGGTTATCAATGTGGCTAACATTTATAATTCTAGAAAGAGCACAAGCAGAGGGACTGTGAACCAAATTATACTCTCCAAGCTATCCACACCTAGAATAAGGTTGTCTAACCATCCATTTAGCCAAACTTGACAAAACCATGTCTTGTAGTTGCTCTATGAACTACAGGCATAGAATCTAGAAGGAAATGATCCATCTCCACAAGACTACCTGCACATATTCGAAGAAACAAGAAGTATGACGAATCACAAAATCTCTGCTTTTTAAAGCTCTAAATACCTCATAGTGTGGATTACTCATTGAACAAAGATTATCCATTGTTCAAATCCATTCACGTTGGTTAAAGTTATAATTGAAACCATAGGCCAAAGTTTTAATAGAATTTAATGAGAAACCAAAAATTTTGAGTTAAGTTGTTGAGTGATAGGGGGAAATACTAGAGAATATTTATATACCAGTCACAATAACATTTAAGTTGAATTTTTACTTAGTTTTATTCTTCATCTTTTCACCTCAAAATTGGATTTCTGTCTGGGTCTCTTTATTCAAAGGAAAGAAAGCTTTCCTATAATATTTACAGGTTTGCTTTACCAGCTTTCTTCTAACAGCTAGTGGATGAGTTACCTTGAAACTAGGCATGTTTGTTACAGGAAACCACATTTGTTACCTTTTTTTTTTTGGTAGAAAAATGTGTTCTTTGTTTAAATTTGATTCATTTTTTGTCATAGGAGGTTGAATTGCTCACTAAGCTTATTTGTGATAAATAATTGTTGTCCACGATTTCCTAGATATTATTACAATGAACCCAACCAGAACATAAAATGTAAAGTATCTACAAATCTTTCCCCTTTGCAAAGTTAATTTTAGTAAGTAGAGTTAATGAATGATTTGAACAGATTAATTAAAAGACAAACAGCAAAATATTGTTTTTCCACACTACCAAAATTTTTACATTTGGAAAAGATTGTACTAAAAGTATTAGAAACAGCCCATTTAAATACCTTTGCAGAATGACAAAGGACTCCACTAAGGGAAAATGTTTTATAATGAAACCCCCATTGTCCCAATTCCTGGCATCACTGCTGCCAAAATGAAGACAGCCCTCCCTGGAAAAGTCTGTGTCAAGACAAGTACCAAGGAGACCCGCGTGTTGGTCAGGTCTCCGGAATCCCAAAGCTGTGACATAGATTCTCTCCATGGGCCAGGGCCTCCCTCACTAGTTACTTGAGCACTTTCTACCCTGGGCCCTGCCTGCAAAGCGCCAAGAAGGCTCACCTGCAAGAGCTTCCATTATCTGCTCAGGGGTCGGCTCTGGGTGGTTCCTCAGCAGAGTGTAGAGGGACATCACCATCCCTGGGCTGCAGAATCCACACTGGGTGCCATGACACTTGGCCAGTCTTTCCTGGGAGACAATGGTACACCATTTATGCTTTAGACCTCGTGTTTCCCTCCCGTGGACACCAGCAAGCAGTAGAGCTTACATATTTAGCTCTCCAGAAATAACTTCAGGGTAAAAGATGTCCTCCGGAAGAAAAACACTTTTACTTCTTAATATTATATGCATATTATTTTTGCCCTCAAGAAAAGCTTGGTGGCAGGTATTCATTAAGTCACTTTACTCTATAGATCCTGTTTTCTTCATCTGAAATAGGAAGCGTAGTTTAGAGAAACAGGTAAAATTCTCTGGAGTCACGCTCATGTGTTTTGGGCCTTACTGCACATCAACTGTGTGACCCTGGGTGATTTACTTGACTTTTCTCCATCTTTAAAATTAGGATAATAATGGTATCTATTTTACATGGAGGTATGAGAATAAGTGAATGAACATCTGTGAATCATTTAGCACAGTCTCTGGCAAGTCATTTTCATCCTCTTCTCCATTTATATTACAGAATTTTTGATGGATTAAATGACATAATCTATATGAATGCTTTGTAAATTGTAAAGTACTATTTATTTATTTATTTTTTTCCTTTTTGTCTTTTTTTACTGACCGGTAACGGGATCGCAACCCTCGGTGTTGCACCCGCACCGCGCTCAGCCAGTGAGCGGGAACCGGTCTCCACATGGGATCTGAACCCTCGGCGGGAGCGCCGCTGCGCTCCCAAGCGGCGCACTCTCCAGTGTGCCACCAGGCCGGCCCTTAAAGTACTATTTAGTAATGTGCTATTTATGTATTTAATATATGCACATTCAACTTTATACACTCAAATACAACAAAACAAACAAAACACTAAAAAGTTATGTGAGAAATGACAATTTACTTTGTCTACTTTATACAAAGACCCTATGCCATGAAGATATAGATGGCAGACCTATCTCTGGGATCCCTCTGTGTGTATCAGTCCTGTGTGCCTCTCACAGGGTACTCAACTGGCTGGCTTGAGTGTGATTCAAATGTTTTTAAATAAACATTTTTCAAACAGCATGGCTCCTAAAATGAAAGCCAAATACTTCATGTGTGGCTCAACTGAAAGGACAGACATAGTTCTAATGCTACAGGAAAATATGGCTCTGTTGGGTTTATTTCTAGATGCAGACATTTCACATGTAGCATGTAAACTTGGCTGTAAACGTGCTTGTAAATGTTTAACAACTAGCTCTCTGGGGGAAAAAAAGCCCTGGTTTGTATCTTCTGCCTATTTGCATGGTATATGTACTTCCACCATGGCTGATATTATTTTATAAACTATTTAATTATAAGTTTGTATAGTTTAATTTTTAATAATGGCTGTGTTTCAAGATTGGCTTGCAAAATTCCTGAATATTTGACAATAATTCCTTGCAAGCCTGTATAAGTCTGCTCCAGGGCACTCACTATTCAACAAATCTAGCTTTTGTCCCATGAAGATCTGAGAGAAAGTGCAGCATGAAGTGCTTCCATAATGTTAAAGTGATGAGCCAAGTGAGGGCTAAGATCGTAATGAGACCAAAAATTCATTGAGTTTATGGCTGAAAGATGTGCACTAGTAACAAGGGCTCATCAAAGGTAACACATTGAAGGAGAGAGCTCGTGGCCTCTATGTTCCAGCCTCGCCTCCCAAGAGAAGGAATCTCAAGGGAAATCACAGCTTTTCATACTTTTCTTTCTACACACCGCCTTAAAAACTCAATCCCTGCAGAAGTTCGCATTCTTGTATATAAAAAGTAACATTGCCGTTTCTCTAAAATATAAACTTTAGTAAACACCTTCTTGTTTTAGCTGTGTTTCGTTGTAGCACTGTGTACGGTTACTTGTCAGACATTTGGAGAGCATTCAGGGAGTATTTGCACACATAATTGGCCTCTGTATCAGAGTTCAGTAATTTTGAAATGCGATGGACAACTAGTATCTTCTATAAACTTCTGATTTTCTGCCTCATTTTCTCCTCTTATCAGACTGGACTGTTCTTGTTTTTGTTTAGGGTAAGGATGGGGCTGAGATGGTCTCTTGGGGTTAAGATATATTAAAATCAATGAAAGAATCTTGAAAAGATTACAGAGAAGATACCTAGCTATGAATTACTGAGTCATACAAAACAAGAATTTAAAAGCACAAAGGATTTTAAAGTTGGTGATCTAGTTGGAGTACATTAGACTATGTGGGGTGCCTAAACCAGCCTCTGGTCCCCATCACATCCTGCTCTTACCTGCACGGGGTGAATCCTGGTTTTGATGCTTCCCACACCTTCCACTGTGGTGACAGCAGCCCCATACAGAGAGCAGATGGGCAGCAGGCAGGCTGTGGCTGGATAGTGGCTGCGATGGAATTATGTAAAGAGAACACATTGGAATCATGGGGAGTGGGCAACATAATTTGTGGAGTTACTTCAGTCCAAGAGTCATGAAACTCTATTTCCCTGAACATACAGAGCAGACTAGAAACAAAACCATACATTTCTGGATGTGCCCAAGAAAAAACTTACAAATGGCTGGTGCAGCATGGTAGAGAGAAATGAAAAAAAAGAATAATGGAGATTTTTGTGTAGGATCTTCAAGAGACCCTCGTTCTGCATATTCTCCCTTCATTCTAGGCAAAGGAAGCCTTTTACTCACCACAGTTGATACATTGACTTATGTAAACCACCATGGAGTAGTCTAGCCCAGTGATTCTCAACCATGGGACACTTTAAAAAATACAGATCGTCTAGCCTAATTAAATCAGAATCTCTGGGGTGGGATCAATTAACCACGTTTTAAAGCTCGTCAGAGGATTCCAGTGCATGGCCAAGTTTGAAAGTCATGGGTTTATGCTCCTGTCTTGACCGTCTCTCCCACACTGTATTAGTGGCATGGCAGATGGGGTCAGCGCCAGATTCTCATCTCACTGGTTGGGAATGGGGTCCAGACTTCATTAGTTAAATTTAGCTTCTTTATTCCCACTAAGGCTAAGTCCCATTCTCTTTTCCAGTATGGGAAATTGTCCCTTTCTCAGGGAATGTTTCCTTTGTTCTCCTTCCCAGGCTGAGAGTATGAATGCTGTTCCTCTGGGTCCAGCAGCCCATTGAATCATCACAGCTGACTGGCTGGGGACCCTAGGGTGGACCTCAGGTACATCGTGGAACAGGTGCATTTTTGTTTTCACGTCCTTCAATTCCTTTCCTGTTAAGTTTGCTTCCTCTTGACCTTGTCTCCCTTTCCCTTTTCTCTCAACCACTCTTCCCATGCTCACGGCTCTCCTCACACTCACCCTTCTGCCTCTGCCAGCAGAGAGAGGCGTGAGCTCCCTTCACCCTCCTGCCTGCAACCGCTCATAAATATCTGCAGCCACTCTCACCTCACTGGAGGTCAGAGGATGAGGAATCCTTCCTCGTCCTCCCCTGTGCTCTGGGTCCCAGCTACTCTTGTCCCCACATGGACATGCCCCATCATCAGCTGTCCTCCTAACTTCTTCCTTTCTAGGGTCTCATTTCCCTAAATTCTCTTGCATTTAGAAATAAATTCATGTGTTTGCTGTGCTAAAAAAACCCAAAAAACAAAAAAAAACCCAAATCCAAAAGCCTGTCTTTCTCCAGTATTGGCACATGTTTCTTTCCTTTCTTAGTCAANTCTGTTGGGTTTATTTCTAGATGCAGACATTTCACATGTAGCATGTAAACTTGGCTGTAAATGTGCTTGTAAATGTTTAACAACTAGCTCTCTGGGGGAAAAAAAGCCCTGACTCTGTTGGGTTTATTTCTAGATGCAGACATTTCACATGTAGCATGTAAACTTGGCTGTAAACGTGCTTGTAAATGTTTAACAACTAGCTCTCTGGGGGAAAAAAAGCCCTGATTTGTATCTTCTGCCTATTTGCATGGTATATGTACTTCCACCATGGCTGATATTATTTTATAAACTATTTAATTATAAGTTTGTATAGTTTAATTTTTAATAATGGCTGTGTTTCAAGATTGGCTTGCAAAATTCCTGAATATTTGACAATAATTCCTTGCAAGCCTGTATAAGTCTGCTCCAGGGCACTCACTATTCAACAAATCTAGCTTTTGTCCCATGAAGATCTGAGAGAAAGTGCAGCATGAAGTGCTTCCATAATGTTAAAGTGATGAGCCAAGTGAGGGCTAAGATCGTAATGAGACCAAAAATTCATTGAGTTTATGGCTGAAAGATGTGCACTAGTAACAAGGGCTCATCAAAGGTAACACATTGAAGGAGAGAGCTCGTGGCCTCTATGTTCCAGCCTCGCCTCCCAAGAGAAGGAATCTCAAGGGAAATCACAGCTTTTCATACTTTTCTTTCTACACACCGCCTTAAAAACTCAATCCCTGCAGAAGTTCGCATTCTTGTATATAAAAAGTAACATTGCCGTTTCTCTAAAATATAAACTTTAGTAAACACCTTCTTGTTTTAGCTGTGTTTCGTTGTAGCACTGTGTACGGTTACTTGTCAGACATTTGGAGAGCATTCAGGGAGTATTTGCACACATAATTGGCCTCTGTATCAGAGTTCAGTAATTTTGAAATGCGATGGACAACTAGTATCTTCTATAAACTTCTGATTTTCTGCCTCATTTTCTCCTCTTATCAGACTGGACTGTTCTTGTTTTTGTTTAGGGTAAGGATGGGGCTGAGATGGTCTCTTGGGGTTAAGATATATTAAAATCAATGAAAGAATCTTGAAAAGATTACAGAGAAGATACCTAGCTATGAATTACTGAGTCATACAAAACAAGAATTTAAAAGCACAAAGGATTTTAAAGTTGGTGATCTAGTTGGAGTACATTAGACTATGTGGGGTGCCTAAACCAGCCTCTGGTCCCCATCACATCCTGCTCTTACCTGCACGGGGTGAATCCTGGTTTTGATGCTTCCCACACCTTCCACTGTGGTGACAGCAGCCCCATACAGAGAGCAGATGGGCAGCAGGCAGGCTGTGGCTGGATAGTGGCTGCGATGGAATTATGTAAAGAGAACACATTGGAATCATGGGGAGTGGGCAACATAATTTGTGGAGTTACTTCAGTCCAAGAGTCATGAAACTCTATTTCCCTGAACATACAGAGCAGACTAGAAACAAAACCATACATTTCTGGATGTGCCCAAGAAAAAACTTACAAATGGCTGGTGCAGCATGGTAGAGAGAAATGAAAAAAAAGAATAATGGAGATTTTTGTGTAGGATCTTCAAGAGACCCTCGTTCTGCATATTCTCCCTTCATTCTAGGCAAAGGAAGCCTTTTACTCACCACAGTTGATACATTGACTTATGTAAACCACCATGGAGTAGTCTAGCCCAGTGATTCTCAACCATGGGACACTTTAAAAAATACAGATCGTCTAGCCTAATTAAATCAGAATCTCTGGGGTGGGATCAATTAACCACGTTTTAAAGCTCGTCAGAGGATTCCAGTGCATGGCCAAGTTTGAAAGTCATGGGTTTATGCTCCTGTCTTGACCGTCTCTCCCACACTGTATTAGTGGCATGGCAGATGGGGTCAGCGCCAGATTCTCATCTCACTGGTTGGGAATGGGGTCCAGACTTCATTAGTTAAATTTAGCTTCTTTATTCCCACTAAGGCTAAGTCCCATTCTCTTTTCCAGTATGGGAAATTGTCCCTTTCTCAGGGAATGTTTCCTTTGTTCTCCTTCCCAGGCTGAGAGTATGAATGCTGTTCCTCTGGGTCCAGCAGCCCATTGAATCATCACAGCTGACTGGCTGGGGACCCTAGGGTGGACCTCAGGTACATCGTGGAACAGGTGCATTTTTGTTTTCACGTCCTTCAATTCCTTTCCTGTTAAGTTTGCTTCCTCTTGACCTTGTCTCCCTTTCCCTTTTCTCTCAACCACTCTTCCCATGCTCACGGCTCTCCTCACACTCACCCTTCTGCCTCTGCCAGCAGAGAGAGGCGTGAGCTCCCTTCACCCTCCTGCCTGCAACCGCTCATAAATATCTGCAGCCACTCTCACCTCACTGGAGGTCAGAGGATGAGGAATCCTTCCTCGTCCTCCCCTGTGCTCTGGGTCCCAGCTACTCTTGTCCCCACATGGACATGCCCCATCATCAGCTGTCCTCCTAACTTCTTCCTTTCTAGGGTCTCATTTCCCTAAATTCTCTTGCATTTAGAAATAAATTCATGTGTTTGCTGTGCTAAAAAAACCCAAAAAACAAAAAAAAAGTGCTCTGGGTCCCAGCTACTCTTGTCCCCACATGGACATGCCCCATCATCAGCTGTCCTCCCAACTTCTTCCTTTCTAGGGTCTCATTTCCCTAAATTCTCTTGCATTTAGAAATAAATTCATGTGTTTGCTGTGCTAAAAAAAACCCCAAAAAAACAAACAAAAAAAACCCCCAAATCCAAAAGCCTGTCTTTCTCCAGTATTGGCACATGTTTCTTTCCTTTCTTAGTCAAGTTTCTTCGAGAGCTGTCTATAACTTCCTTGCCTTTTAGTCACTCCTATGCCAACTGCACCTCACCTTCCAGCCACATCTTTCTGCTGACACTGCTCTGGGAGCAATCCAGTGTCCCTGGACCACTCCCTGGTGTTTCATGCTAGTGAAACACTTCTACATTCTTGGATTTTTCTCCTCTTGATGTTCCTCCTTCAGCTTTGGTTACTCCCTCTAGGAATCCTTTGTGCGGATTCTTTCTTTGCCCATCTCCCATTCTGTTGTTCTATAGTGTCCTACACTTATGCACTCTCCTATAGTTCCTGCTACCTTCTTGGTGGCCTGAGCTGAAAACCTGCCTTTACCACTAACTGGCCTATGAACCCTTGAGCAAGTTATTTAACTCTCTTTGCCTCAGTTTCCTCTTTTTCAATGTGAGTGATAGTAATGCCTAACTTGAAGTTGTTGGGGAACTAAATATGATAATAAATGTAAGCTACTTTAAATAGTGCCTGGCACACAGTAAGCATTCAATAAATGTTAGTTATTTCTCTCAACACAGTATTCCTGTGAGGAGGGGGAAGCTAATTATTTTTATTATCATTGTTATTATTTATGTCGACAATTTCCAATAAGTTATAGCTCCAGATGAGACCTCTTCTCTAAGTAATAGACCTGTTATCTAGATGCCTGTTGGACAATCCCTCTTAGGTGTCTTGCAATCACCCCAAATGTGACGTGTCCCAAGCTAATCTTCCCTCTTCCCTCTCCTCTTCCCCTCCCCTTCCAAGTTCCCTGATTTGTGAACTGCACCACGCAGTCCCCTGAGACTAAACCTTGGAAATCATGCTAGACAAGTCCTCCTTCATGACCACATTCAGTCAGGGAGCAAGTTTACATTTTTAGGAAAGGGAGAGGCTGCTCAATCACATAGCAAGTTGAAGGGTCTCGTTCAGCCTTTCCTGGCAAACAGCTCTTCTTGGCGTATGTTGAAGACCTAAATCTTCCACCAGGACTGTCACTTCTTCGCATTGAGCCATTCTTACCTGACTCTCACCCTGAAACCTCCTACTAAAAAACAAAGAAAGTATTCTTACAACAGCCCAGAGCAGAGCCCTGAGAGACTGGCACACAGGACAGATACATTCTGCTAGGAAGAACATCTGTGGGAAAGATCTGGCAGTTAGGAGGTGGCAGGAGAGCAGGCTTGGAGGAGTGTGAGTGTATGCGACCCCTGGAGAGAGGAGCGGAGGAACAGGAGAAGCACAGCAACAGGAAGAGTGGGAGGCTCCAGCCCCGCTCAGCCCAGAGCAGGGGCCAGGCCAATGCAAAGGATACTGGATCTTCTTGGTCTTGGGGTTGTATCTTGACACCATCACTGTGCAGGCCCCGCAGCCTCCTCCTCCACAGGCATATTTAGTGCCTGTGAGATGGACTTGAAGAAAGGAAATCAAGGAAAAGGGCAGCCCAGGCTCTTTGGTTTTTATGTTTTTCTCCCTTGGATGCGGATAACAAGCAACACGTTTTCTTGAGTCTTGTACCAAGTTGGCCAAGGTTCCTTGCTTAAAGAGATTGTTTAGCTTTTTGCTTATAAATGAGCTCGTTGATGAAAGGTAGGAAGAAATCCTGATAGACCCATACTGCCTTATCCGAAAACCTTGGGTCCAGACGCATTTCTGAATTTAACATTTTTTGCATTTTAGGAAGGTAATAATATAGCACTCTCAATGGTTCTAGGGCAACACCTTGTAATAAAACACATTAGTGTTTCTGCAGCGAGCCACAAGGACATTCACACTAAGCAGGACATGTGAAGACTACATAGAGCCTCACGCCAGTGCAGTCAGGGTTTGCATCCAAATGAGTTAAGAAAAAGTCTGGAATTCAGAATTGTGGACAATGGATTCTGGACCCATATGATGTTGCTGCAGCGGTGGTGGTGAGTGGTTTGTGTCCAGAACTTAGCAAGAGCCTCCCGAGAGACTTAACTTTCCCTTGTACAGTAATGTAATGCTTTCACCTTCTTATGCAACTAGAGAATATTATTTTAACAACTATGGCTCCTGAACCAGTAATGTCAACAATCACTGTGTACCTTTTTCCTGTAAGACGTTTGCATATTTTCACAAAGGGAGAACAGATTATATGCAAATCCTCTATTTCAGGCTGTACAAGAATCTACTGGAATTTGTTTAGAACCTTTCCTGGGTGAAGTGTAAAAAGGATTTCATGGGTGGAGGTCATAATTGGCTTGGGTGGAGGTGAAGACTAATTTTCATCTTGGAAACTGCTGCTTATGAAGAGGTAATACAAGGTCAGGACATTCAGGGTGGCTGGAATAAAGATCTGAGGAGTTCTCTGCAGTGGCCCAGAGGGGCTGTAGCCACTTCCTCTGTCCTTTTGTCCTCAGTCTGAGCCAGCTGTGCCCTCTTAGGGTCTGGCAAGTCCAGCTTTACACCGCCTGGCAGAGTGCTGAAAGGAACGTGGTTTATATCATAGTCAAAGTGTTCCAACGAATAGAGCATCAAAGGCAAGGAGATCCTTTATTTCTGCTTTTGGTGTCCTGAACTTTCCAAGTAAAGAAACTAGGTGCTGCCTGCCTCAAAGACGGAGGTCGCTTTTCACTTCGTCAGAACTTAAAACAGCTCTGTGATGCGCCTTGTGAAGTTGCCCTGAGTGAAAAGCGACAAATGCATCCTCCCAGCCCTTTTGTCCTCTGGACACCCCAAAGCCCCCCGCCCCCCACCCCGACTAGAAGTGCCTGGCTCGGTTACTTCCGTGTGCTGCTGACTCATCCTCAAGCTCATCAGTGGGTAGGGTTGCAGATAAAATACAGGACGCTCTGTTAAATTTGAATTTCACATAAACAACGAATAATGCTTTAGTGTAAGTATGTCCCTTGCATTTAAACTCAAATTTAACTTGGCGTACTGTATGTTTATGTGCTAAATCCAGCAACCCTATTTAGGTCAAATACATACAATACTTCAGAGTCTGTTTTGGGGTCCTTTATGTGGAAGAGCTTTCTCAGAGCCCCCAAAATAGACAGCCCTACAGTGTATCTAGAAGAAGCTACCCTGAGACGACATGGGACAGCCAGCAAGTGTGGTTGGACCTGGAGTTTACACTGGAATCTGGTCATTCATTCCCTCGGTGCCAGGCAGAGGGTGACAGCAGACTCCGAGCGGGCCCTTCGCTTCCAGGACCTCATCGCTTCCCTCTCCTTCATTCCCTCCCAGGTCCACCTCCAGCTCTTTGCATCCCTCGGGATAAACTCCTTTCAGTTCCTCAGAGGCTCTGCGTTCTCTGCCTCTGGCTCCCGCGCGGCTCACTGGACCACCCTGGGCCCAGCCTTGCCAGCCCGGTGTCTTCCCTCCCCACGCCGCAGCGGGGCGCTCCCGGCTGTGGCTCCCGGTGGCTGTGGCTCCCAGTGGCCGTGGCTCCCGGTGGCCCTGGCTCCCCCACCAGACGGGGACGGAGGCAGTGTCTGCCTGTTTACTTCTAACACCTGATGAAATGTGCTCGCTGAATGAAGTGGGAATTGTTTTCAGAACGGCAAGACGTGTCAGGCTGCAGCCAAGGGGGTGCACAGGGCAAAGCTGGGGGTGCTCTGAGACGTCCCACGTCCCCAGTTTTATCCTAGAGCCAGGATCGCACGAGATGAGGCCGCTCTGTGCCACCCCCTCCGTGCCCCATGTGGCTGTGGGCCGTTCACCGCGGGGGTCCCGCAGTTCAGATCGCCAGGGAGGTGCTGGGGACAGTGACACGGCTTGCACCCCGCGTGGGGCAGCGACGCAGTGGGAGACATGCGCCACCACTGTGGGCAGGGAGCGAGTGGAATGGCGAAAGGGAGATGGGGAGACCTCCTAACAAATTCCGCTCTTTGTGTGACTGTGTCCCACTCTTGGAAGGACACCCAAGCCAGGGCCCAAGTCAGCAGCAAACTGGGGTTTTGTGGGAGTCTGAACACTGTGGGCAGGGAGCGAGTGGAATGGCGAAAGGGAGATGGGGAGACCTCCTAACAAATTCTGCTCTTTGTGTGACTGTGTCCCACTCTGGGAAGGACACCCAAGCCAGGGCCCAAGTCAGCAGCAAACTGGGGTTTTGTGGGAGTCTGACGTTTTTAATCATATGGAGAACCTGCTTTAAGGAAAAAATATTAAGTTATGAATTTAAATTTCGGTTCAGAGCTTTGGAAGGAGCCATGAGAGAATCCTGTGAAAGTGAAGTAGGTTTCTGCTGGTACTAACTATGGCAGAAAATCTGTGGTTATCCACAAATATTCATTCCCTGTATTGGCCATTCATCAGAATCACCCACTTGAGGAACAAGTTAAAAATAACATCCCTGACTCCATCTCAGAACTGTTGACTCTAATCACAAGTTGAGGCCTGGATGGGTCCGGTTAGTCTTATTTACTCAGAACTACTTACTTATGTCGGGTGCCAGAAAGGGACAGATGGAGAGGGTGCTGGGGAGATGGGGAAGTGGGAAGCTGGGGGTGATTTTGCCTGAGGCTGGTTCTGGCCATGTTTACTTGGGTGTCCATGAATTTTCAGTGTGCTCCTAATACAGATGAATGTCTTCATGTTAGGATGTCCAGAGAAAGCATGGTAAAGTGTGTAGTGAATTTGAAATGATAGAAAAGGGTAGTGATGGGTTTGCTGACTAATGGTGAGACTCTGAAACTGGGTAAATGGGAGATGGCAGGACCAGGATGGGGCTTTGGCCTGTCTGCAGTGTGAGTGGAATGGGGACATCAGGAGGCAGTACTGGTTAGAGTAGAAAAATGACGGGGTAGGAAACCAGATTGCAAGGGGTAAGTGGTGAGACACCGAGTCTGGAGAGAAATCAGGGCATCAGGTACAGGCTATTTCTTAGATAAGTTTGGCAAGGAAAGAACAGGGAGAGATGAAGAAGTGTTTTTAGGTGTGTCTGTTGGGAGGCAAAAAGAGAAAGAAGGGATGATATTGTCATGCTCACCACCGGATCCCTAGAGCCTGGCACTTTGTAGGTGTTTGATAAGTATGTATTTTTAACTTATTACTATAAAATAACTATAGTCCTATAGGAAGTTGCAAAAGTAGTATAGACAGTCCTGTATACTCATCACCCAGCTTCCCCCAGTTGATGACATCTCACAGAGCTATAGTGCAACATGAAAACCAGGAAACTGACATTAGTACAATACTGATGACTGGACTATGGAACTTATCCAGATTTCGTCTCTCATACGTGCACTCATATGTGTGTGTGTATAGTTCTGTGCAATTTAACTTCACATATAGATTTGTGTAACCACTGCCACAATCACTCCCTCATACCACCCCTCTAAGGTCTACTGAAGGTCTTGGAGGAGTGGGGAGTCAGGCCAGAGGCAGAGAGCTGGGAGTGCATTAACTATACTTAGGAATTTTGAAATATATATATATATAAATCTTTGTTTTCTCTGAAAAGGATTTTTTTTAAAGGTGTAGAATAAGTCAGTGGTACTGGCCAGCTGCCAAAAAGAGAGAAAAGAATCAGTTAGCAGAATGTCCTATGGGACACTGTTGTCAGGGACATGCGCCCCCGGACACTGGGCAAAAATGTGGCTAGACATTTTTACATTAACACTCCTGAGTGTGAAGTCGTTGTCAGGGTGACCGTGGGGCTCAAAAGTCATAAGTTATTTCCAAAGCGACACACTCGTGGTTTATGGGATGATTCTTCCAGTTTTGCTCAGGTAAAAAATACAAAAGGAAAACATGAAGCTCTCGTGTTTGGGTGCATTCTCTGAACGCCAACTAGACTGTACAAGTGGAACACGAGGTTATTTATCTAGAGCAAATACAGGTGGCTATCTTGACAAGTCTCACCATGTTCACATTTTATCACCCAGTTAGAATGGATTACAGTAAAATAAAAGGATACGGACTTTCCTCAGGTAGAAAAGTAGATTTACTTCAGGATCAGCGTTCTTCTCTGTTACCTTCATTGTAAAAAGAGAGAAGGGATTTTAGGAAGATAATACCAACATGTTATGGCAATTCTATTTATCGTTTGGAAAGCATGTTTTTGATAGGTGGTGGCTTTACAGAAAAAAGAGTAACAAAAAAAATCTTTTTCTCTAACACTTGGGACCCGAATTTTGAAGAAATAGTAGAGCGTTATTTCAATGTCTCTGAATTTTCCAATGTATGTGACAATTTTGTATTCTGGATTGTTTTTCCTCAGACTTACTTGGAAAGGAGCCAGCTAGGGATCAGACACATATATTACAAAATTGGCTCAGATAACTTGCAGCCAAAGAAAGTCACAAAAACGTTAGCCAGAGAAGATTTCCTAAAACTAGGGGTTTTGCTTTCCTACCTATGCCGCTAATTCAGTATGTCATAAGGGAGCCACTCCTGTCCCCCAGACCCATATGTGAAGGGAAAGCAGAAGGGGCATAAGTCGAGACACTGCCCCCCATGGTAGGCTACAGGCTGTTACTGCCAACAGATCACAGCTGGCACACGAGACAAAAACCATCTGCCCTCCCTGGCCCTGGAGGGACCCAGAAGCTGGACAGAAACCTACCTGGAAGGATAGCAACACTGAACCCAGAAAAAGAGGACATCGTTCCACTCAAAAGTGTTTTTTTTAAAAAAATCACCTCAGAAAAAGGCAACAAACCACATCATCTCTTCATACAAAGCCTCCTATTTCCAAATCTCCTTCCAAGTCCTCAAAAGACTTACTCATCCAGAGATGAGTTCAGCACCCCTCCACTCTGAATCTTGGTGTGTGTAGGGGACTAAGAATAGTGTCACTGCAGAAGCAAAGCACTATAGCTATATCTGCTTTACCACCATAATTGTGTGGCTATGGAAATTATCCCCAAAGGTGGAGGGTAGGGGATGCTGATGGGCAAACCAGGAGTACTGTGCTTTCTCCCTGTCTCCCCCACTGGGGAGCATGGCCTGATGACACTAATCTGTGCCCCAAAGACCTCGATTTATCTGATACAACATTCCAGGTAAATAGTAGACGTCTCCTAATAACTTCAGTGCAACACATGGTTTAATGCATCCCCTTCAATTACGACAATGCCTCAGGCCCAAAGAGCGCAAACTATGGCAAGATTAGACTTTGGGAAGTTAATAAAAGGCTGCCAACTGCAATTCTGACATATTGAGTATGTAGGATGACCAGCCACTTAAAATAAATATTTCCATAATCATATGAGAAATGCTGCATTTAGGAAACAAATCCCTTTTTAGTAACTGTGAAAAGAGGAGCGAGCTCATTAGTCATCCGAGTGATGCAAATGAAACCAACAGTGAGATGACACCTTATGCCCAACCGATAAGCAACATTTAGAAAGTCTGATTGTATCAAGCATGGCACATCATATACTGGTGATTCATATCTTGGCAAGGAAACAGCACCGTCATGCAGTGAATTGCGGAGAACGTAATTTGTGCAGTATTGTGAAAAGTCACCAGGCAGGACTTTGCTGCAATCTCACAGAGATCCTCTTGCCAGTGTTGGTGAAAGTCACATTGTAGGACGTTCACTGCAGCATTTCTTGGGGTACTGGGGAACTGGAAGCATCCTACATGTCCCTCAGTAGGGGACCAGATAAGCAAATGAAGGATATGCACACCTTGGAGAACTGTGCATTCGAAAGCAATGAGCCAAGTTTTCAAAGAGCAACACAGACAGACCTCAAAAACAGTGCCGAGTCACAAAAGAAACAAAAGGAGACTTGCATAAAAGAAACAAAAGGAGACTTATAAGTCACAACACCATTTGTGTAGGTTAAGAACACACACACTCTCTACATTTCAAGGATACACCTGTATTTCTAAATAACCATATAAAAAGTAGATGTGGGCAGGCCAGTTAGCTCAGCTGGTTAGAGTATGGGGCTGGTAACGCCAAGGTCCGGGGTTCGATGCCTGTACCAGCCAGCCACCACAGAAAAAGAAGAAAGAAAGTAGATGGGAAGGATACAAATTTAAAATGCACATGAGTGGATGCATATGGGGGAGGGAAATAAAGAGAAGACGGGGAGTAAAAAGAAGGAAATAAAATACTATGAAACAAAAGAACCTTGTGCAGACTGTGTTGACACTGAGCCACTGACGGAGGGTGTGCTTTGCTCAACGGGTGCCCCTGCGTCTTTAGAAGGAGCAAACAAATATTTCTTCAAAGAGTGGTGTATATTTTCCCCTCTTCTGCCACTGTAACTTCTATTTGAAATTTGTAAAACACAACTGGGTAAGTAAAAACACCAAAATATCAGCTTTGAATTCAAAAGATTGGAAACCTGAGAGGGAATGCTCACTCTAATACAATTTCAAAGGATAAATGGTTTTATTAATCAACAAAGGTANAGGGAATGCTCACTCTAATACAATTTCAAAGGATAAATGGTTTTATTAATCAACAAAGGTAAAGCAGTAAAGGCCATTTTCCTCACACTCAGAAAAGTTCTTAGCCTTCGAATTACTACAAATCAGCAATTATTTTTCTGATGATCCAGTTGGCTTCAGGTCATTCAAGATTGCTAAACCCAGGCTTTCTTAGTTCTTTTCTTTCGCTTTTATTTTTATTTATTAGTTCATAGGTTTTCTAAAAATGACCTGTCCTTGCTATTCAACAGGCAGAATTCCCAAGAATTTTTGCCTCTCTTAAAGTTTTATTTCCTCCTTCAGAAAGAGCATCATCAATCCAGTATAACTGAGGCTTGAGAAGCAAAACCATTGCAACAAATTACTCTCTAAAAAAATTTTCTGTCTTATTATTTTACTAGTTCTTTTCTTAGTTGTCCCAGACAATTAGATATGCATTCTGATTTTAAAGCACCTCAAACTTTTCATTTGTTTTACTCATTAAAGCACAGGATTGAGAACAACCTAGATAGGCATTGGAGTTGTCACATCTCTTCTGCAATAGAGAAGCTAGGCTACTTACTGCACTGCCCAGGCAGAGGGCACTTCAGCCTCCAGGTTTATTGACCAGTCTGAGGGAATTTATTAAGGCAAACTAAAATCACTTGTGAGTTGTTATTATCATCCTCAATGTCATATGTGCCTTCTATTAAAACAGCATTGGTGAATTCAAGTAGAGCTAATAAACAAAGGGAGAATGACATAGTTTTTCAC